GCGATTGGAACCTCGGATTGGAGAGGACCCTGCACGGTCTCGAACAGGCATCTTCGTAAATTTTATTTGGTTCACAGCCCTGTTCGCCATATCAGTAAAAGATATACTTGGTACGCAAACCAACAGTTATCCATCTTACCTCGATCCACTCGGATCATCATCGCTGTCGTCGCTGAGATCACTACTATCATCTTCTTCCGCGTCGCCGGGTCTGTGATGTGGCCTTCCTGGCTGGTTTTGATGTTTCCGTCTCCGGCCCTTCTTCCCAGGACTAGACCGATGCGGTAAAGGGACAATCGTATTTGTATCATCCCTTGAGCCGGTGATCATCCCGCCTTCCTCGTCATCACTAAATCCCAAATCAGGCTGTCGGTCACCATCCTGTTTCCCATCTCCGTTCTCATTCTTCGACTGGAAGTATTCGGACGCAACGGCGGTCGCGATCGGAATAGGCGGGGAATACGTTCGTTTTATGCTTGCGGCGGCAGCGGCGGATCCCGTCCATCCTGCAGCGCGAAAACCCGGGGTGTTGAGAGCGGAGGAGTTGAGCGTTATGAGTCGGTCGCCGACGCCGTCTTTTATCGCGGAGAGATAGGATGTGCGCAACTGCCAAATAATGAAACTAGAGAGGATGCATGAGAGATCATCATCAACATTGTCTACCTCAACACTTACTCTTCATTCTGAAGTAGTGACATGTCTGAACATCAGAAATGTGTAAAGCTAAATCGGATGCCAAACAGGATTGCAAAAAGAAGCTTGTTGTCCGCGAAATATAATGTGCAAAGCTTTCACGCGTGTGCTTTCTCCAGAGCACAGGGGAAATGGGATGAAGGTGGCCTAGCGAGTGAGGAGTAATGCTCGCTCATCACTCCATCTGAGCAGTGAATTGAAACAGGCTAGAAGGTAGAAAGGTCAACTGTCTCTTCAAAACATGCCAGGGCCAGCCTAGGAAGAAAGGAAATTGGCGACACTGTCTCGTGCTGATGTCTCCTGGGCTACACAACAAGGGAATTTTAACAGTGTTCTTCGGGGCGTTGAGGGAATCCGGGGGATGGTCTGCTGCGGGTCCGGAACACGGGTGGTCTGTGCTCGTTCGGCTGCATTAAATGCTTGTGTATTCGCATTACAAAGTCGGTGTAATATTTACAAAAATGGAAGTGTAATGTTTGAAACTTTGTGTAAGGCGGAAACTAGGTAGCAAAATCACCCAAATTTATTTTACCTTCTTTTGGCCGGCCCTTCTACTCCGTAGGTGCCTCTGGAAAGCCTCGAGACTTGATCTCCTACTATTTTATCCTTCTACTGAAGAGTACAGATGATACCAACATCATATCATACTGTGCGATTCCACAGGAGGGACAAGCATTTCAAGCATTGTAAATAAGACAGAGCAATAACTCCATCAAGAAAGCGGCCTGTAAATCAGTGAAAAAGGGAACAAAATGAGTGTATCGAGACACCAATGCAAGGCCACACAGCCTGTGTTGAAAAGAGGTTACATTTGCAACTTGACACTGACAGTATGAGCACAGGATAGATAACCTTAGAACCGTGATGACCAGTGCAACATAATGGCTGTAAACAACAACTTATTCCGGATGATGCCAACTTCAGTGGATTCTGTAATATGGAGAATGTACCGGACAAAAATCACTCCACATATCATCTCTTATCCCTGTCCCAAAACCAGTGATAAAGACTTCTCGACTCCGCCGCTTCGTCCTCCACATAATCGCCTACCAGGTCTGCTGTTTCATTCGAATACATATCTGTCCCTGATATAGCAGCTGTTCCCTTTCCACTCGCTACCTCCTGTTCTGCAGCATGTCTAGCTTCCTCTTTCGCTGCTTCTGCGAGGATCTCTATTTCCTTTTTGGCCTTGTCGAGGAGCGAATAGTATTGACTTGAGAGGAGGAGATATATATAGTACGTTCTAATCGTCCAGGCATGGATTGTAGCACCAGTGGCTGCTGCGATTCCATGGCTGACGAGTTCTTGAACGACACTAGCCGTAATTCCCGCGTATACCGTTGAACTTCTTTCGAGTCTAGCGAGAGCGGCGACATTACGAAGTAAACTTGCTGGCGAGAGGTCGTCTTCGCTTCCGATAGCCTTTGAATGTGCGGTTGGAAATTTTTGATAACCAGCTTGCCTGCGTACTTTATCCACTAAAATTGGGTAGGTCAAGGATATGGTAATGACCCGGCTCAGGGTAGCGGATAGTACATGGGTAATAATCTGATTATTTCTCCTTGTCAGGCAACGGAGGAGTATCTCATTCAGCGATAAAGTGATGAGGGGATTGGCCATCAACAGCAAAGACGCCGAATACCCAGCCCACAGCCCTCTGGCACCTTGCTCACGGAAAACCTTGATAACAATGTCCCGAATCCTGGTTGGTTTCACACAGGCTTGTCTCCTTGTGATAATGGTTTCGATAGGCGCAGTAAGCAATTTGGTACTCGCCTCCGATACAATCCCAAGGAGCAACCTCACCGCGAGTAGGCCCGATGAGTTTACCAATCCTCGACCCTCCAATCGCCATCGAAAGAATTTATAGGCAAGGAAAAAAAGGAATACTTCGGCACCTGCTTTACCAGTGGCTTCCCCGACACCAGCATAGAACGCCTTCAACCCACCCTCGCCGTAAATCTCCTTCACTACTGTAGTAATTTCACCACAGCAATTCCCGCTTTGCCGCTGGCTACCATCTTTATGATGAGCCGAGCAACCCTCAGTCTTTGGTTCACCATTCCGCAGCTTCAGCCTCGTCGCTATCAAGAGAAGAGGGTACACGGCCGCAGTAGACGCAGCCGCACACAACGCTCTCACGGTCACTTGACCCACTTCTGGTAGAGGTGGACCCTTCACCGTGGTACTCTGGGTGAATGGGGCGACGGTATATGAAGAGGGAAAATTTCGAATAAAATGGTGCCCCAGGACATCCTGCATGCCGCGCTTAGTGGGTGGTCATGAATGTGTATGTATCGACCAACTCAGACACATTGCAAGCAATGGAATGGTGTCAAAATACCAGTAAAGAAGCTTCATTCTCTGAATAGCTGGTCATGTTGTCCAAAGTACATTTAACCACGCGATAGTGTTTCCAAAAATGTACATATTCATCGCATCTAGAAGTTCTGTGGCGGGGCTTCGTGTCTCAAGTCCCTACTCCGCCCATTGCGAGCGAGACTAGGTTTAATTAAGAAATTAGATGCTCAGTTGAAGACTCAAAGGTAGATATCGGACTTTTTCTGTAGTAAATTACCGAGAAAGTCGAAGGAAGAGGTGAAAAGAAGTCCGAGTCCCTCCAGGTTTCAGGTGTAAGACAACGGACCTGGAGAGGGAGTTGGCGATCACGCATGATGACATCACGTGTTTAACCTGGGTCACCTAAACCTTAGTTAACTATTAGCGCGAGATTAGCATTGAAGCCAACGCAAGACCATATTTAGGTCGCCAATGACATCAAACGCTGTGAATGCAGCAAAACCACGGTCACAGGCAATTTGGGATGCTTCAAGTGGTTTAGGGAAGTCATCTGCTTGTTAGCTTTATTTTCTAAATTATTCTCAATAGATTTATCAGAGCTTCTGCTCCCTATTCGCATATATTAACCATGAGCCTCTGCGCCGGAGCTCGTCGGGTGTTTGAATTTTGGGAGGACCTCCTGGCCTCGATAAATATCTGAGTTGGATTCGGACAATTCTTGACCACTGCACGGAGAATTGCTATCCAGTGCCTGGCGAAGCAACAATAAAGCTAGCCATTTTCATCCGACTCAATTGACATCTTTGTCAGCGCCTAAGTCGGCGGAATGTCTGTATTGGCAAGGTACGGCCAGGCTTGCACCTTTACTCACGCAGGTAGGAATGCCCCAGGTGGTTACATGTATCAACCCCATTCCCCCGGGTTACGGTCTGCCAGAAAAGCCTGATAGCTACGAAGGCCTTTCTCAGAAAGGACAAAATCAGAGCAGCAAGTTATATTACAGTGCACTATGCCATAAGTACTTTGAGGGTATAACCTCAAAGAGGAACTCTCCGTCTCTACGCCGCTATCAGCCATAACCATGCGTGGCAAGTATCCCATATCAAGCCGATTTTGTCATCAGGCGGGGGCCGGTCCAACAGGGAAGTTTTCAGGCTCCGCTCAACGTTGATGAATGTGGTTGACCACTGGGAGCAGTTACAAATGCACGTTGATTGCCCAACCATGCCCTCTCCCGCTCCTCGTTGGCTACAGACAACAACAAACTCTCCTTCTGCATCTGCCTCTGCCTAGATGCAACCTCATAATCTTCTAGATCAACTGTTCCATCTAAAGGCAAAACGCCACCTTCTTGAACTCCTCTATAAAGTGCTTGACATAATCACCATTTCCATCTATTTATCATGCTGTTCCTTTTCTTCTGAGGTGAATGATATGAACATGGTATGGCCTTACCAGGATCGCCCTGAGTATGCATGATGGTTGACCTTGCCGGGACCAAAGTACTGGTTCAAAGCCGGAGCCAGCATCATGGTTGCTCCTAGAGCTATGAAACGCAGCCACTTGGCCATGGAGGTTCCTAAGTTATCGGACGTAGCCGGTTGATCGGTTATATCCCATGTTTGCAATTGCACTATCAGCCATGTTAACGACGTCGAGCCAGGGAACAGCCCAGACCCAGGCTTCTGTTTTTATTCTACTAAATTCTTAAGTCCACGCCATTATGGTATTTCTTCTTGTGCTTCTAAGTATCTGTTTGGAATTATGGGCTCGAGGCTCCGAAAACTTCCTTTTCTGAAGTGGGCGCGTAACCTAGAGAACAGGATGGAGTTGGCCCCGGCAGGGTTTCGATGAACAATGTTGGAGCAAATCGAAACCCACATGAAGTCAAGCTGAGACAAGGGAAGCACCGCTGCTCACTTGTGAACTCTCACTGTGGCCACGGCGTAATACTAGTGAAGGTCTGAGTCTACTTCAATAGAAAAAAAGAAAAAAAGGAAAGGGGACCTCGCAGAATATCATGTGAATAGACATGATCTCAGTTGGCTTGTAAATACATATTGTATCATAGCTGTTTAAGCTAAACAACATGGCCAACACCAAGACTCCGTGCACCGTGAATAGACAATCATGTCCATATGTCCCCCAAAATTAAAAGCCATCAACCTGTGAGCCAAAATGATAAAAGCACTGTAGATCCCCACCTCAAACCAGTGAACCGCTGGAAACAAAGTAGACAATATGTAAAAGAATTAAAGGGGAAAAAAAAAGGGTGGATCATTATTCCCTCCAATGAAGGTATCCAACAGCATACAAGAACGCTTGAGGTGGATGCACCAAAAGCATTGCGCATGTGTTATTGAAGGAAGAAAGTCGGGCATGATAGTTCGCTTAACCGCCGAAACCGTACAAGGTACGGCCCTGTCGCTTCAAGGCATAGACAACATCGAGTGATGTGACGGTCTTACGCTTGGCGTGCTCGGTGTATGTGACGGCATCACGGATAACTGACTCGAGGAAAGATTTGAGGACAGTACGAGTCTCCTCGTAGATCACTAGCAGGTAGGAAGATGACGCGTCAGCCCACCGTGTACACATCTGTGGTCTGAAACAGTCACAGTTAACTTACTTGCAGAGATACGCTTAACACCACCACGACGAGCGAGACGACGAATGGCAGGCTTAGTGATACCCTGAATGTTGTCGCGCAAGATCTTGCGGTGACGCTTGGCACCACCCTTGCCGAGGCCCTTTCCGCCTTTACCACCTATATCAGAGGAAGCACGTTAGCAAGCTGCTTATTCGAGCACGAAGACACGACAATATATATGAATCATGTTTTATTGTCGATGAACGGAGTGAAGTGCAAGAAAGGCCGAGCGTCCATTGGCCAGCGTCAGCCGTGGAAGGTGGGTGGCGTTTCACCACCTGCCAAGACCATCCCACCCCTTGCAGGAACATTCAACACGGCCTTCGAGCCGGTATCGTCGAGCCAGCAAAAACAAGCGAAAGCCGTTGAAAAATGAGTAATTAGATACTTACGTCCAGTCATGATGAATAAAATAAACAGTTGATGATGGATAGATGTCTTGTTTGATGGTGGGTTGATGAAAAAGGACGTGTATCGAACGCGTTATGGTGATGGAGAAAATCAGTGTTCTGAGAAGGAAAATAGAAAAATCGGTAGGAAGAAGGGAGGGGCAAGGCCAGGTTTAAATACTCCCTCAGCCAGTGACGGGTTGATCCCGCAGCAATTGTCGCCTGAAGAAATCGCGCTAAACCAAACCGGGGGGATGGGGGCACCTTATCCAGAATCAACATCAAATTTCATTGAATCAGGCGTGTGTGATTGGGCAAGTGGCGAGGTTGCAAATGGGCATTCCAAAGTGCTCAATTCCAAGCTTTGTTTTTCTGCTGATTTTCTGGCTCTGATTTAGCGTGTTGGCTTTTTGTTGTTCTGCCAGAATCTTGCAACTCTTGGCATGATCCACCGCCCTTTGTCACGTGATATTTTATGACAGAATAGGCATAGCGTATTCCAGCCCTATCTTCCAAGCTAGCGGGATTAACCACACCTTGCATCTCCACTGTTCTATGATTCTAACAACTACTTATGTATGTCCAGTAACAATAAGTCCGAGCGACACTCCTTGGACTTTCAGAGCATACAACACCGGTCCAGGCCCTTATCCTGAGCAACAAGCATTCTAAGATACCACAAGGCTAGCATAGCAGTGAGGCATGGCTGGGCTGCTCTCCCACACGTCTCCAAAGGAATCATTGATGAACACTCCAGATTGCTGTTGTCATCTAGTCATCCGAACAGCCCCGGTTCATGGTCCATAAGGATAATTCCCTTACTGTGATCCATGCTAGTTCATATCCTAGACAAGTGGTGTCTGTGATGTGAAGATCATTTGCGCAGCAAATTAATATTCCAAAGTTAGCTACCATCTTAATTTGCGCGCCTATGGTGAAGCTCCCCTGCCAATCACTATCCCGCTTCCTCTGCCACAAAGGTTATATCTACCTTGAATAATCTTCTTACTTCCAGCTTACTATCTTCACTCTCCAGTGGCCAAGTTGTCATGAGCTATGAAATCTCCACACCCTCTGCATTTGCTCGGCATACTTTTTACTGCCTTAACTCGCTTATAGTTGCATTCTTACATCAACATTCATTCAAATTCGCAATTGAGTTTGTGGACATCGATGTATCTGAGATCTTCAAGGAGTGGCTAGCGAAGAGGAAATTTTGCGTTACGTTTCTGGTGATAATCAGGGGCAAGACCTGTGTCATGAAGGTGGTGGGTTATACTCCATTCTGGTGTATGCATATATGTAGCCGACACTCCAATGGCATCATGCTCGAGGCCCCAAACTGCCGTACAAGTCATGCATACCTGAAAAGAATATCTTTGTCTGTGAATCAATGGCCTATCAATGCCTGGCACAGGGCTGGAGGCTGTGCTTGTGGAATAACCTCTCACTTCTCCAGGATAATAGAAAATATTGACCCTATACAGCACCTACCACATCCTAAGATAAAGTTTGTCAAAGATGAAGATTCTCCCACAGCTATTCTCTCGGACTATATTCTCAACATAAAAGAGCTAAACTGGATCAATTACTATGAGAAGAGGATGCAAAATTTTGTTGATGATCTGAATACAATTTATAAAGCACTTGTTCAACACAGCAGTGTTCATTCAAGAAATATGATGATTGTGGAAGAGGATCTGAAAAGGGCAACTTGGATAGACTTTAACAGGGCGCAGACATTTAGCCAAGAGCTTACAGAGAGGTAAAAGGAATGGATTGCATTTGAGAAGGAGCTTATGGCAGAGACAGCTGACTGCATGGTCTGTGGCCTCCCTCCCCTGAGTTATGGGCCTCTGAACCAACTTTCTTTGACTACCAGGAATATGACTCCACCTAGGGCGAAATGGATAAGACACGACAGTACTATGGGTGATGCCTCGAGACGAGAACGCGGTCCTGGAACATGCTGAAGCAATTGCCCTGTATAGTTTTAGTACGACGCTGTAGTGTTTGTTTGTGTCTTGATACCAAGTTATCTTGCCGTGATTCTAAACACACATGAACTCATTTGCATGGTGTCATGTGTTATCCTTTGTCCCATCGCTGGGACCTAGCTAGCTCAATCAACCTTATGAGTCTATTAGCAAGCTAGCTAGAAGCTTCAAATTTATAAGGATTGAATCTTTCTTACATATACACCAACATAAATTGTATAGCTGAGCTTCCCACAAGCTAGCCGCTAGGTGAATGCTCCTCTACCAGCATAGATCCTTCACTACATAGGACGATGCTAAACGGATCCCTCTGGAAAGCCTGCTAGCTATAGGGCTAGCTATTAGTTTGACGGCTCGGGTCGACTCCCTTTTACAGACTTATATATGCTAGTATGTGAGAGATTTGCCTAATCTATATAGGTCATGTGAGTGAGGGGGCTAGTTGGATTACCTACTCCATAGTCAACACTAATACATCTAATGGCAAGCACATGAGTCCATCAGCCTGGCCTTTAACATTTGTCTAAAAAGTTCTTCCCAGCAAGTTGATTAGTTTTATCCAACATGAAAGTACAGAGTACATTAGAGGGATCCGACCGGAATAGACCTGAGAAATTATATTTTTTCTTTTTTAATTCATTATCTCGTATACTTCCTCGCCACTCCAGCAGCAAACTAGCTTATGGTTGACCCAAAAATCCGTCCAATACCCAGTAGAAGCTACCATCTCAAATATTCCTTCAGATAACGGGCAGAATCCTTTCAATCCCGGAAGTTTTCGGTTGCCCGTGTTCGGGGGACATCCAAAACAACAGAGACGACATCTCATAATCTCCCCATTTAGGGGGGGGGAGAGGAAAAAAAAAACAAAAAGAAGAAAAAAGAAAAAAGATAGTGTGACCGAGTGGAGAAACCAGGGAGATGACAAGAGGCAAATGCACACACTTTTGCCATTCACATAGAACTGATTAAGAAGTAAAAAAGAGAAAAAAAAAAAGGAGCAAAACATCCCGGCAGCTATAACTCCAGCTTAATGCAAACCAAAACAAAAGCCATTGCAATATCATCAAAAGCCCACAAAGCATAAGAGCCATGTCAAAGAGTCAATGGGAGAGAGCTCACTATACGTTTTATATATTGCAAAAGGCATGATTGCAAAGGGAGAAAGTGAAACAGAAAAGGAACCCAATGGAAACAGGGGAAAGTAAATCAGCGAAATAGTTACTTCAGCAGCAATCAATCAAGAACATAAATGAGAAACTAAAATATATAAACGTTTGAAAATGGCAATTTTGGAAAATCGAATGAATAAAACGAAGACAATTCACGGCCTCTCGTTCCTTAGAGCTGTAAAAACGCAGTAAAGCAAACAGACCGCCCATATATCCAGGCCGCAATTTTCTCATGGCCAACAAAGGTGTAAATTAGTATGTATGGTTAATCAGATGCCCTTCGAAGCCCAAAGGGGTTAGTTACCTTATGAGCTAGGCTCGAAAAATATATCGGATACTGACGTCCGCACCGCCTTAGGCCACGATTAGCCCCGGATCGCTGTAGGGGCAGGAGAGTCGGATAATAACCCCGATGGGATGGCTTGGTGGAATGAATGAGTGAAGATAGGCGACGACGAGGAGGAGGAGGTGTTCGAGCCCAAATCAGAACGAGAATGAGTGGGTGATTGAGATCTTGGAGATCGGGGAGAAAGTAAACTCGATCGCTTTTCATCCGTAGAAGAAGAATCAGGCGACGAAAAGAAAGGGGACCCGGGCGATGACGAGAGTTGTCGGGCAGGAGGATGATGTTTGTCTGCTGATGATTTCTGATCACCTGGTCGACTGCAAGCTTTTGAAGACGAGGTTTCGTACTGTAGATAGGATGTCAGTTTTTACATCTTATAAAGTGACTTTTTCAGGGGCGATTTACAAAACAATATTTGTCGACCAGCTCCTTATATCCAGGAGATTGGTGGCAAGGTTTGGCAGATAGAAGCTCAGAGGGTCTCATAGCTTCCTGGGAAGAGCCAGCTGAGCTAGCGACACGTTCCACTCCCGGTATACCAGCCATATCCTGCACACTAGCGTTTGGTCCAAAGTGGAGCGCGCCAACGTTACCTGGCTGCATTGCTGCAGAAAGTGACGAGCCAAAATCATATCGAGTTGCAAAGGCTTGGCCTGCCGACTTTGTCCTTTTCGTCGGCGCCTCCAGCAAATCACCATCGGCATAAGGAAAATGAACCTGCTCTGTCAAACGGCTAAAGCCATCATCTCGGGGGCTTTGGAATGATCGAGCAGGAGCGAAAGATAATGCGTTGGGTTGTGGAGGCATCGGCCGTGGCCGTTGAGCGTTCTTGCTAGCACGGGAAGAGGTGCCAAATGGCTCGGGTGCTGGCCCACCGCTGCCATGCCTTGGTTTGTATTTCTTTGAGAAGTTAACATGGTAGTTTCTGGCTCCATTATTGTCCCAGAATTCAAGTCCATTCACATGATATTTGATGCAAACGAACATTGTTTTGCTCTCAAGATCCGCCAGATCTGCAAGCCGGATGCTGAAGTGGAATCTGTCATAATTATTACTTAGATCCCGTGTTTTAACTGCATGAGGAGCGTTGTTGTATTCAGCTTCGACCTCCGAAACGGTTTTCCAATGGTCCAGCGTAAACCTGGCGACAACATGTTTCTGGAATGCAAGGTTGGCAACAGTAACGATCCCAACAAGATAGTTGTTATCTGGGGACAGAAACACTCTTTCTAGGCGCACAGGAGCATTGAGGTTGATCAATTCTCGGATTGGAAAATTTGTGATTCGAGCTTCCCACTGGAAGTAGTGCGTCTTGGAATCGAAGCCCGATCTAAATGGGAACTCCGTATCCCCGTCATACTCCTCTACGGGGGACGACCCAGCACTCACCGCAACTGGCATGTCAAGCTGCAAGAAATGGCGAACTTGCTCCAGTTGAGCGTCGAAATGAACGTTCTTCACAAAAGTTGGAGTACCCGGCATACTTGAAGGTCTCCTTTTCATGCGAAGGGCGGGTCTCACAAGCTCTCCAGATTTCTTCCTGATCATACGTGATTTCACGGCGGGCTCGTCGTCCTCATGGTCACTTTGGTCCGGTGTCTGCATCTCTATTTCAGGCAACTTGCGTAGAATGGCGCCATCAACAGATTTTGAACGAATGGGCAAAATGTCAATGGAGCTTGGTTTTCGACGGGCATCAGCAACGACGAGAGATAGTTCAGAATTAGGTGAAATCGAATCCGGGCTATCAGCCACACCCGTGGCCGGCGTTCGCTCAGTTTGGTGTTCAATTGCCATGATCGCGGCATCTAACCCGGCGAGCATGTTCTCCTCAACCTTTCCCTTGCTGCGTTCATCCTCATCGCTCGAATTCTGTCTTGACTCCGGGGGTGAGATAACAGAATACGATGGTATCAATGAACTGGGTCCTGCTTGGGATGGCTGCCATCCGTGTTGGTTACCATTTGAGATGGCATTTTCTTCAGCATTGGTGTCGTTTCCACCCCTGGTCCTTGGGCGGAAAAGCGGCACGCTTGCACGGATAGAAGAGCTCCGCCTGTGTCCATGGATGTACGAGCTGGACGAAGAAGTGCGTGGTGCAGGGTGCCCCGCCAGGATCAAAGATGGTTCAGAGTTGTGACGCGCATGACGGCCATCCAATAAAGGACAAAAAGGAGAGCGAAAATCAGTGCTCTCAGTAGTGTTTGTGAAAGTCAAAGACGAAGACGGCGGTGTGTAGGGCATCCGGCCGACTTGGCTGTAGCAAGTAGGCAGACAGCTCTGCTATTATCTTGTCCGAGAAGCCTTAGGACCAAACGGAATAGTAGGACGTTTAAATCTCGGTGTCCAAGCACAGTCCTAGCATCCTTTGATAGTCAGCGATTGAAAATGAACCGCAAGTGAAGATAATCCCACTAAATATCACGTCCGTGGCAGTGGTGCCACCGCTGGGAGGGCGAACATAAAACCGGACAAACACGAGGAATTTTACACGATCGAGGAAGCCACGAAGTTGCATACATCTGAAAAGAACAATTCGACAGGCACCAGGAAGACAGTGGTGGGCGACGAAATAAGAGAGTCCAATGCTGTCCTCAACAGCGTATTTTGTGTTGGGGGGGTGAACTAGAAACAAAGGGAAGCTCACGGAGGGAGTGATGCGATATGTATCACCCCGGTCCAGTCGATAGGACCGCACCAATCCAAATGTAAAGTGGCGAGTGCAGAGAGCGGAGCTCGCAAACTATCCCGTGGTGGTGGTCTAGGCGGCACTCTTATAGTTGATTTTTAACAAGGCCTATATGAATAACCCGAGATATTGATGAGAGGTCCCGTGTGAGGGTGTAGGTATTATTGACACGACACGAGAAGGTGGAGAAGCTGTGTAGGAGAGGAGAAGGTGTGCCTGCACCTAGAAGGGCGGGAGCTCGAGAATTAAGCGAGGAGCAGATGATCCTCGCAGCCAAATCCGGCGGATTTCAGGAGCACAGAACAAGAGGAATTCGACGGCGCTGACCGACAAGAAGACGGAGGGGCAGCTGAGCAGATTCGCAGGCTGAAGATATGGGAAAACAGGGCTCAAAACAAGGAAATAACAACGGCTAAAATTACAGAAGAAAGAGAAAGTGTAACAAGCGAACACAGCAGATCTAATGAACAGCAATAAGCAAGCAAACAAACAAGTAGCACAAGAGAAGGGTGATCTGAAGAAAATGGATAGGAAGGACTAATATAGAGAGGAGAGGGAGAGAGGTACGGTTTGGCGGGATGTGGCGGAATTTGATAGTGGAAATGCGAAGGTTTACCACTGGTTTGAAATCCGGAGGGGGACAGAGATTTCACAACCTTGATGAGCTTTTTCCTACCAAAGCTGGATGTAGCACAGAATTATGTCCCTGAACCAATCTGTAGAAGTAGCGATTTTCTTTTTAGTCCAGTGAAGATCTGGAAAAAAAGGATGGATGGACCGGCCAACCTTCTTGACGCCGACAACGGGAGGGGGCGAGTGCAGCTCAAGAACAAGGGGCGGGAAAGGAGACTGAACGGATGTACCTACAAACACCCGGGATGTACTGCATTTCCTTGTCTCATCCATATGTGGATTAATAGTCTTTCCCCAACATGATTCTGACGCGGAAAAGGGCTGGTGGTTAGCGGAATATCCATCCTCGCCATCCCCAGCGATATCAGTCGCGACAGAGAGTAAGTACCCGGGTTGGCCCAAAATGTTAAAGGGACAGACGTCACTTTTGCCTGCACATTCATACATGTAGTCCATCCACGAGAACAGAAAAAAAGCCTCTAAAGCATCAAGAACCCAAGTTCGCAAGAAAGGAATACTAAGAGGGCCCAGAATCAAGTGGCTTTCCAAGTATTTGTGGTTCTGCTGCTTTATCCTTGCCTGGTTGCCTTATCATTCGCCGCTGCCAAGCCACATCCGTCGTGGATAAGACGACGCGACCATCGTCGAAGTCCGCTAGCTGTTCATCTCGTCGAGATTCTCCCGAGATGAACAAACAGTACATGCATACAGACACGCTTTGGAGGTCTGGACGGTGAGCCTTGGGACTGTATCGCAACGATTTCGTCGGCGTATCAAGAGCCGGAATATCCCAATGAGCACAGTTGTCACGGCTATTGCGAAATCGGCAAGTTACAGTTGCATGACTGTATGACCCAGGACCATCGCTGGTTGAACCACCGGAATGCTCCGTACATATTTCATGTATGTAATTATCGGATGTGGTCTTTCGACTCAACCACGAAACCCGCCTTCTTTGCCACTCGTGCTCGAGATTGATTTTATTTTATTTATTTATTTAATTTTTTTTTTGGTGAAATTCACTTTTTGGACCAAAAAGTTCCCTCTCAGACTTCCAGAGCTATCACCTGGCCCCAGGAAAGCTCTGTTTCAACAAAGACTGCACGCGCAAACATCAAGAGGTTCATCTGCTTCTGTCGAATCTGAAAAAATTTGTCCAATCAAAGATCATCGTTGCTCAGCATGCGGCCTGAATCATATTAGTTCCGAGGGGAATCGGTCTTTTTTGAGTACGAGACACGAGTCCCACGGACCAGCTTGCGACTGGGGGGGGGGGGGGGGGGGGGTTCTGGAAGGCCGAATCCTTGTCGGTGAGAGGTCAATTGATAACAACGTGCGCCATGAAAAAAGCCAAAAAAAAAAATCTTAGCCTTGCTTTTTGGGTTCGAGACGCCATTCGCGCCGCAAGATGCCTCTCCATAACCCTGTGGTCGCTTAGTTTTGGGGGCATGGGGTGACTTCTTTCATTGGGCTTGTTGGGCGGCTTCTCCCAGTTTTGCGCGGGACCACTTCCAACTTTTTGTGCAACATGGGGGCTCGGATCAGTGGGTACGTCCGCATGAGCTAGAACGGCGTGCTCAACAAGTCCAAACCCAATTCTAACATTTTATGCAGCGCTTCTCCCCTCTCCTCACGCACGAAGAGGCCTGGGCTACTCTGTACAGAGCGCATGGAGGGCTCCGCCACCAGTTGCGCACTCCTGCGAGCGATTGCTCCCGTCCGTTCGAATGTTTCCTGCGCCGTGATTGGCACCACACCAATGTGTTTGTACAGTTTGCTCTCACACTGTGGCTAACTCGTCCCCTTAAGCTCGCGTCAAAGCTGTCACCGAAGAACAGACAAATACTTCGATGTAAATGCGTGCGATTATTATTACATAACGCCTGCCGCTGCGGTACTCTCCCATACGGTATTCCGGGGAGTGAATTTGGCAATTTTCCTCTCCAGAGCAATCCTCGTGTCTTGGGAGCTCGAGACCTCGAACGGTGCATGCATCTTCAAAGAAAGCGGTGAAGAGATCGTTGACAACCGATGCGGGGTAGGTAGCTGCTTGTGAATCATTAGCTCCTTGACTTCCCTGAAACACGGTGTTGGGAATGTCGCTCTGGCCTTGGGGAGGGACGACTCCCGCCCTGATTGACTCGGAGCTGACGCTCACCGATTGAGAGCATTCGTCAGCCGATGGACAGTCACACCATTTCAATTTCCCTATCTATCGGCAATTGCCGTGTGCTTCTTTGGCGTTCTGCCTCTACCCGTGTTCAATAATTGGTTTGGAATCTTGGGCTCAACGCGGTGCTATCCAGTCAGAAGATATCGCAATGCTTTTCCTACGATCTATCTTTATCTATCGTTTTAGATTTTTTCAGGGTAAGTAGTCTGTGAGGAACAGTCCATTCGTCTAAGCCTATGGAGGCTAACATTACAAAGATATATGCATGATATCTTGGGCACCTTTTGTTTTAGAGCCGCTTTGCAATGGGCTTCATGTTCACCTTACAATGGCAACGCATTCTCTCCCCGTGCACTGAGAGGCCCTGCCGGACCGGAGTACAGCCCCTTGTTTGTAATAATTTTAAGAAAGCTGCCAGTGTGTCGACTCCAGTACCTTTAATGAGAGCTACAATCATTGGTCCGACTATCCATCTTAGGACCACCCATAAAACGAAAAAAATAAAAATAAAAATAAAAATAGAAATAAAATAAAAAAATAAAGAAAAGAAAAGAGAAAAGGGCGGCCCTTGAACTATCCAAGCTGTACGGTTCAAACTTACCCTGAAGCGGCTGGTCTTCGTTTGGCGTTATCCAAATCAGGGCTTTGCCGCCCCGATGATGGCGGCGATTCCAAACGGTTTTGCCCATTATTTCCAGTGGCAATCCCATTGGAGCGAAACTTGCGTCCGGGGGTTGTCCGGCAAACGTACTCCACACTGCCAGGAAGAACTTTGGTATCGACTCATCTGATCCATAATGCTTGTCGAAAAAGAAGTCCAAGTACTTGGTTACTGGTGCTCTTACCTTCATTGGAGCTTATGCATTAGGACAAGATGCCTGGGCGGATATGTATTCTGCACGAAATCTTGCATTGGCCATTATCCTATTAGATGCTAGAACCATCATTGATACGTTGGTTCCGCCCGCCCCGCCCTTAATCCGACTCTCGAATTTCTTGCATGCCGCATACGTAACACAGACATGGAGCACGGAGAATTACCTCAGTTTTCAACTCGTTCTTTCAACTTTATTCCCATTGATCATAATAGCCGAGTCACTGCACTTGGTAAACTCCAAAGTCACAAAGCAGCTGGGTATATTTTTGTATTTAGATTAACAGGATAGGTAAGTCATTGCATAAAGTAGGTGGCCACTTCCGCCATGTTATATTCTCCTAATTTTGATAAGGTTACATATCGGCACTGCATATATGGGTCATTGTGCACACAACTATTGCAGTTAACAACACGCCTATAATAATTGTTTTTCTTGCAAATGTTACAAGAGCCGAGCAAACGCAGATCCGCAAGGCCCTACCTTTAGATGACAACTGTGTGAGCAGGCGTTCACCTTGATAGGTTGAACCTACTGTTGCAGAAACTGTTCACAAATAACCTCATGTCATACTTCTCCTGAAATTTTTATACTTCCTTGGGTTTCAATGCCATTTTTCTCTTGGTATTAATACAGGCAAGATCTCAGGCTCCCAGAGCATGGATTTTTTTAAACACTCATCCTTGAGTTCGCTTTTAGGGCAAGTCTTTTGATCCTTGATTCGGTCTGGAACTATGCTGAGAAGCGTAGCCAGGGCATTGTTTCAAGCGTCGGAACAACATGGAGCTGAATCTGCAAGACAATTCGTGATCGAAAAATTATGCCGTATCAGGTAAGCTCAATAGCCAGCACTGGAGTTCCAAAGCTGATGTGCATCCCTTGCTACCCACCCAAGACGAAACACAGAAAAGGTTGCAGCTTTGTGGCTAGCACAGGATGCTGGGATTGCCATGGCGATGATCCTATGCACCGCTTTCAATGCGCAATTTTTGGGGAGACAAAAGCGGATAGCATGCTACGACAAGGTCCCAATACTTTCAAGCATATGCATATGAATAAAGTGTGGGGTAAATAAGGATGCTGTTCTTGTCCCAGCCGCAGGATAAGTTACGATTTTGACCAGTGTCGTGCGCTAAGGATGCTCTGTTCAACAGATCCCGTCCTATCTGTACATCCACAGTAAGTAGCCGCCGAAGCATGAGAGCAGATGACCTTGAGCGCCTCGCCAGATCGGACTGCTGTCCCTTTTGGTACCATTGAATACCTTGGGAGATAGCAGAGGAATAAACGAGCTAGTTTGAGAGATGACAACGGAAATGAGTCCATCGTAACGGTGATAAGGCGTTTCGCTTATCTACTCCTCACCGGTGAGGCGAGGAGCAACCAATCATCGGGTGAGTTGCTGCGCATGGCCACGTTGTCCGTGTATTTGTCTGCATTCGATCACATAGCCAGGGATTGGACCCTTTTGCGTGAGAGCTCCGTCTTATGGAGAAGGCAGCCTGGCAGGCCTATACTCCGGTAAGCAGCAGGGCACCGATAACTATCTAATGGCATCTTTCGCCCGTGAAACAATGTCAAGCGACTTGGATAGGTACCTGATTCTGGCAATGTCAGGTGGTCTTGTCTCGCCGGAAGCCTGTATTTGATGCATTGACAACTCACTTCCACCCTCCATCAATCTCGGTGGTCGTCTATCATCCCCACATTTCGGATACCGCATATGCAATCCCATTCTTGCGGCCAGAACAAAAGAAAAAAAAAAAAAAAAGGCTCTAATATCGTCAATTGCCGACGCATCGGTGGCCGATTCAAAGTCAACATACTCCGTCCCTATAACGGGATTCATTTTAAGATTGAGGGTTTTTCAAGTTATACAGTGCAGATTCCAAATTCAAGTTGCGAAATTTCTTTGGTTTCATTTCTTTCTCCCGCTGGTGGTACCGAGTACTCCGTACTCTGACCCGAACCGCTCTCAGAGGAATCGAGGATCAAGCTCTATCATTGGCCCATATCAAGGGTACGATATGCATGTATGATACTCGCGTATACGCACAACATGGTCGATTGTTTTACTTTTTATTTTTGTTCCTATTTTTTTTCCCCCCTTTGGCTTTACGAAGTGCGCCCGTACGTGTATTCGTGGCCAAAATTCGATACCCTTATTCCCGCTGGGGAGCCGCAGCAACTGGGGTTTCAATCCCTGCCTGACATCCCTGCGTCCTTGGCGTTAGTTAACTAACTAACAAGCTAAATGTGGCTGAAGTGCGGCGCACCAGCCAAGGAGTCGATTCCGTGGAGTTATCCGCCTCTACTCCATAACCTCCGCACGGTAGTCAAACCCATGGAAGAGAACTGTCCTTTAGCATAACAGAGTGTTAGAGAAAGAACGGTGTGATATCAGACCTCCCGCTTTGTTGGTATTCCAGGGAATCATGCCTTCTGAGGAAGAGAAATTATCCTGCTAATGCCGACAATCACATCAGATATGATGGGTGAATTTCAAACGGCAGAGCTACTCCTTAGAATCGTTTTAATTCCTTGACATCTGCACTGCCTTTGCTGTATACTGCTCAGGGATGTCCGATCATTTGCATATTACATGGACAAATTAGCAGAGATATTTCCCAGGGTCCTGTTGGAGAATGCCAAACCTACCAGTTTCTCACTAAACGTATATCTGTTGGCTAGAAGAAAATAGAGGCATTGTATGGGCTAGCAACCCCGCACATCCAGGGTAGAACGTGTATCCTTTTCGATGGGAAATCGAGACCTGAAAAATGCCACTTACGATCTATACTCCTCCAAGATGGAGCCATCCTAACTTTTGGTTTCGTATTATTGAGCCAGCTGGCCTTGTCGCATACCTGCGCATTTATTCCAAGAATGACTGGGATTGTCAAGCCGGTCGCATCGATTTGCTCCCCCGCTGGACAAATGATTCCTAGAAGCGAGGTCGACTTACTATGAGTTTCTTTACTAAGAATACATTGCTGGGTCCATCTAGCTACCATGTATCCTTCGCTCTACGGAGGAGACTTTCCAACGAAACGCATTTTTAGGGGTTTTTGCAGGTTTATCGGAATGACGATCTCTACCCTCATTGTCCATTCCTCCATGTAAACAAAATATTTCATTGGGCCCCACGCGAAATATTTGTCTTCCCAAGCCACGAGCCATTGTTCTTTTTGCGCTCTACCAGACTCCTAAACTTTAGAATAGCGGAAGCGGCTGAATTTTCGAAGTTGGTATCATTTCGCAGCCATGAAGCATAATTGTGACGACGGGAATGGAGGTCAGGGGCAAACAGAGCTTGTCCCATTGGACCATGAAGGCTCTGAAACAAGAATCGACATGGAGAGCGTTCGCGTCGACGAATGACCTGAGAGGCTGACCTCGATGGCCATTTGCGGAGTAGGGTGTGTCGGGTGATCTGCCATAGTAGAACACCATGACCGCACTGACGGGAGACTTTCTGGTCGATAACTACTCCGTACGGCGTCACTGAATGATCCAGCTATTTAGCGCTCTTCCGCCTCATGCCACATCAGGCACATACTTATGTGTGGAAGCGCACAGCCAGGGGACGTTATTTTCGAAGGTGGCAGGGTGAGCTTGGCTTTCGATCACGCCTCTGGTTGGGCAATTGGTGTCCAAGCTCGACTGTGGATCTCCAGCGAGCATCGGACAAACTTCGGTGATCAAGCCCACCCAGCTCTTGGCATCAAAACATGAAGCGTGGATGGTGGATCGACTCCATCATAGGGAAGGAAGATCTTTTGCCTCTGAGAATGTGCGGGACAGCGCTCTGAGGAGGGTCACCCCATGAGAAACCCAAGGTTATGAGTGGACCACTTATGCTGCTGATGCGCACGTATAGTATGAAAAATACGTCAGTGGACTTAGAGCTTGGAGTTTCCGAGGATTCAACTTTATTCTACAGAGCATCAAGAGATCTTCTTCGAGGCTGTTGATTATACCCCGTATTTATTAAGCAATTGAGCCAAATCGCACTCCACAGGTGGCCCGTATTCTGTCAAAGAGTCGGATGCCTGTTATGGGTTGTACATATCATTTTCGCACCATGGACGGGTTGGACTCTGCTCCATTTCGTCCCGCCTTTATACTATGCAGAGGATGGAAACTCGTACTGCAGCCAATTCCCCTTCTTGGATTCAAAGTTGTGAACGAAATAGGCTGGAGGACAATTCTACTCGCTTTAGTATTGAAGTGAATATTAAGATAAAAAAGTTTCAAGATTTCGGTTTATTCAATCTCGATGAAAAGAAATATCCCGTTGACCCAACCGTATCATCTTCCTCTATGTTAGTGAGCAGCCTTCTAGGGCCACAAAAGGCAAAAAGAAAGAAAAATTCCTGCCAAAACAAAAGAGAATGTATAACGCCTAATTTCTCGGGCAGCGGACAAGAATCTCCACAACCTTGACCGAGACTCGGAGAGCCCTTCCTCCCCGATCCACAACAATGCGATTTCTGTCATAAAGTCGTTCTCCTTGTTCAAGTTCATGCAAGTACCGCCTTTCTTCCGTATCCATTCTTCCGGTGATACTGACGTCGAATTTCTCTGCCTCCGATAGGTGATTTGTCAAATAAGCCATCATCTCTCGACTCGCTTGCTTGTTCGCCAACTTTCGAAGGGCGAACCCTTCTTTCCCATACGTTTGGCGTGGTAAGGCCGGAAAGCCATCAGCTTTTTCTGCACTGTGAGCGGGAGTTGGTTGGTTCAACAGGCCAACATGCTCAACCACGATGTAAACTTTGTTAGGAAGATATTCCAATTTTCTGCGCTTCTTTCTAGGTAATTCCTCATTTTCAACTAATTCGGGCTCTATCTGAACTTGGACGCTTCGGCCCGATTCGAAATCGAGGCATTGCCCATGCAGCATGTCGTCTTTGATGACGGATCGAAGTTCAACGCCAGTCCGGTCTTCGAGCGCGACAGATCTATACACATTAGCAATCTCTTTACACACGCGGGCTTCTGCCTTCGCTTTGTTGAGATATGTGCGGAGAAAGAAGGGTTCTTTGCCTGTGGCGTTGTCAGTCAGGTATACGTGATAACGGAAAAAGCATGATTCTTCGTCCTGGTCGCTGTCTTCTCCACTATCTGCATCAGCATCATCGTCACTGGTCGAATGTTCATTCTGGGTATATTTCTCTTCAGCGATGGTTTCCGAAGAAGTTGCTTTATTAAAGGGTGTGGGCTCTGCAATTTTTTGTTCGAAACAAGTCGGCGTTGCGGTGCTATCTTCTGGATTGATCTTTGCCTGAGAGATTTGCGCTACCTTTTTATTGAGTGCATACTCGCGTCTCTGTACGTTGCGCATAATTGTCCCCATCCGCTCTTTCTCAGCTCCGTTGAGAGGCTGATTATTGTCAAGCTTCGCCCGACACGCTTCATACTCCCGAAGCTCACTTTTAGTTCGGACGTGGTTGGGTTCCTTCTCGAGGAATCTAAGCAGAGCTTCCCCGGTACGATTTACAGCGCTTAGGCTAGAATCCTGTGGTCTGATGATCGGGGAAGAGCCTGGGTTATTCCAGGACTTATGTCGAGCAAGAAGCTCATTGACAATAAAGTCGATATGCGATGCCTGGGGCCTTTCTCGGTGGCTATTGCTTGGGCCGGGCAGGGGCGTGGAGTGGCTTCCAAACTTCGTAGAACGTTCTTGATGATCGAAGGGATCCTTTTGATTCTTATCTCTTTGGCTTTCTTCTTCTTTGTCGGAGGTTTCCTTCGGGAAAAGAAGAGCTAATTCAGCAGGGGGGCGAAAGTACCCTTCAGCCTCCCTTGGTTCCCTTTTTGCCCTCGCATGGTTAGCCTCCCGTGAGGCTTGGTTGGCGAGGTGCTGCTGCCAGGAGAGTGTTCTCCGGCGTCGTCTGGAAGTCAGAGACGGATATCGAGTATGGGCCATCCAGTAGCAATCGGGTCGCTCGGGTGAAATTAGCCAATTGTTATGGAGTACAGCGCAGCCAAAAAGGCTGAGAATTCCAGGCCTACTTTCTGTCTTCAAACTCTGGGGGTGATAATAATAGGGTAAAGCAGTAATATGTTCTGCCTTTCCTTTCTGAAATGAAAAAAGGCCAACTAGGCTTGAAAATATGAGAAAATGAGCAGATGGTTCAAGAAAGGTTTCCAGAGGTTGATTTTGTCGCATATTGTTAGTTTCATCGAATGTAAAACCTCACTTTATAATGTTTGTGAGCTGACAAACTTGTGCCCGCCGAGTCAGCAAGAGTGAATGTCACTTGCATCTATTCCTCAAAATAGCGAAGTGACCATTCGGGCATGCCCCATATCATTCATCTGAGTCCGTCTCTACTGCGGGAAGCAGATCCAGAAACTTGTATGCGCCGAAGCAGGCATATCGTGACAAGCCCAATATGTCTGACCTTTGAATCTAGATTCACTAGTAAACAAAACAAGGGCTGGTTGAGACAGAAATTCTTATTGTCCTCCATGATGGGGTTATTTTGGTGGTCTGATTCCTCCTCCCAAGTGGGATTAACAATTCAATTGAAGTGATGATTCACATGACGTGGATGTTAACATCATCCATTGGGTGTGGAGTCAATAATTTATTTATATCGCTCGAAGGAAGCCAGAGAGTCAACAAATTCACCAAGGTTAGAGTTCAATAGCGGCAACAGTTCTACAGCTAATTTATCTCCTAAACTATCTTCTGAAGTTGGGGTATCTTGGAGTTTAGTGTACTTTTCGACAATTCTCTATATGGGACGGAAACATTGGGGGACAAAATGGCAAACACTGGCTTGGTGGACTTGGAGAAAGAGTTGACCTGTTCTGTGAGCATATATGATCTTCTTAACTTGTGTGGGCTGTGGAGAATGCTTTAAATGATTTGCTGTGGTTTGTGATACTAATTCCGGTCTCAGATATGCACAGAATTGCTCTATCAGCCCCTAACGCTCCTTGATTGCCTCCATACATTTTGCGGTTATTGTCTGAAGGAATGGTTTTCATGGCAGGGATCGAACCCTGGTGACCGAAGAAGATACCCACAGTTTACTTGTCCCTCTTGTAGGGCTTCAGTCCGCGACACAAGACACGATGCGAAAGTGACAACGCTCCTAGACCTGTTTTTGCGGTCGCACCCCGAGAAAGAAAAGCCCACAGAAGAGAAGAACCAGATTGCGGAGAAATATAAGCCGGGAGATGGCGTACTCCCGGTTGGGGTAAGTTCGTCGCAACCTCCATCTGACGGAGATGATGAGGAAGATCGAAGATTGTTGGAAGAAGTCAGAGAGATGAGCTTAAGGGACTCGCAAGGGAGAGGGAGGCACATGGAAACGCAAATTCGCGTGCCTCCCTCTCTGGTCCAAAGGGGCGCCGTTGCTGAACGGACCCCGGAGCATCAGAGGATCGAAGATGCACGAAGAAGACGACGCGCTACGAGACAGATGAACGCTACATCCCGCTCGCGGAGCCCTCTTGATGGAAGTTCTCAAAGGGCAAGACAGGTTGAACATCAGTCTAGTCTGCGGTCCCTTCTTAGCAACCCTGATTTTACTGAAACTGCTATCCAGGAGGAAATCCTGCGACAAATAGCCGAAGAAGGCCTATTGGATGGCATTGATCTTCAAAGCCTCGACCCTGATCAAGAAGAGGAGTTGACTGAGCGCATAGCGGAGGCTTTTCGAAGACGCCAAAGGCGCAGAGTGAGATCCGGCGGGCGATCAAATGAGGCACATAGCATACAGGCATCTTCTGGATCCCGATCCCACAGTGTGAGCCAGCCGAACACCGAACGAAGTAGGCAGTCCGAGGCTGTCCAGGGACAGTATTTGAGCTCCTCAGGACATGCTACGGCTTCAGGTCATCGAAGGAGTGCATCCGATCGCGGTATCGGTCGCAGGCGGACATCACCTGTTCCAACATCATCTGAAGAACGAATATACCCCGCTCGTAGATCCGCTACGGATGTCTCGAATCCTACGCGGGTTCGCCGAGAGTCTCACTCTCGAATCGCAGTGGATGATGAAGCAAACAGCAGATCAACTGCAGCCGATCAAACTCCAAGCCATACTAGACAGCGACCAGCAAGCTCTAGATCTGACCGTCGCGAAATTCTCGTTCGACAGAGGGCCGAGCCTACTTCTGTGGCCGAATCCCCCGTTTCAACCACCCACTCCCAATCCTCCAGGATCTTAGATTCAAGGGCATGCCAGGGGCATAGACATCGATCAAACTCCCGCTCCTCCACAAATAATCAATCGGATCGTCTAGCCGTCCCATCCTCGAGACCACCACCATCTCGGCAAGCTGGAATCGCACGTAGCGTCCCGTCCTCTTTCGTCGAGCCATCGATATCATGTGAACGGTGTGGAAAGAAGAATCTAGAATACGAACTACATAAATTATGCACTCGTTGCAACAATGGCACTTATCACCTATGCCTACGTTGCTACCGCCTGGACCTCGGGTGTTTGCATTGGTTCGGCTTTGGTGATTCAGCCCACAGTCGTTTTAAGAAAAGCCAAGATAGCTTGCCTCCAGAACAGCGAAGTGAAGAGGCTCCGCATAAATTCCGCTCCCGCAGATTCCTAGCTCCCGCGAAGGAGTCAGTTTTGCCCACAACCGGGGAGGGTGGGACACAAATTACAAATTCGGATCCTTCAGGGCGACTGCAAGATGGTCTGTTTTGTGATATGTGCCAGTTTTTCTCAGATGATTGCTACTGGAACTGTGGCGAATGTAACGACGGGGAATGGGGCTTTTGCAACTCGTGTGTGAACAAAGGAAAATGCTGCACCCATGCACTTCTCCCTATTGCTCGTGTAGATGAACGCACTGGGCAAATGCGATCTTCTGGCGCAGATGGTTCTCCGACTAATGCAGCATCCTCTCCTGTTCCGGGATCCAGCATCACTGTTGATACACGAGAGTATCGGATTCTGACCTTCTCCACCAGGTGCAATATCTGTACATATCCCATCCCGCCATCCGTAACTCGCTACCACTGTCCAACATGCAATGACGGGGATTATGACATCTGCAGAAACTGCTATGTGAAACTCTGCGCGATGGGTAAAATAAGCAGAGACAATGGACGGAATGGATGGCGCCGCTGTTTACAAAACCATCGCATGGTTATTGTCGGATTCGAGGATCACGAAAATGGGCAAAGACGTGTCATAGTCAGTGGGCTTGTCGGCGGATATGCAATGAAAGATGACCTTGACCCCACTACACCAAATAGTCTTAATCGCCCGGATACTGGCTCTCCAAACAGTCCTCTTTCCCGCCAGGATTCAGATCCATGGGAGTGGCCCGAGGGCTCCAATTCAAATAACCCTGACGCTGCAGACCTGGCCAAGGGTACGAGGCGTAAGCTCAACCGATCGCGGCACCATTTGAGCGGTAGCTCTGGCGATTCTCCTAAAAGCCCGCTTGCACCACGTTTTCCTCCGTCAGGTGGAATTGGTCTCCGCTTAGTTGCGATCTGGTCATACTATCCGGATCCGGAAGAGACGGATGAAATAATGTTTCCTCGAGGCGCCGAAATCACAGAAGCGGAGAATATTAATGATGACTGGTTCTGGGGATGCTATGCTGGCCAGAAAGGCCTGTTTCCGGGGTATTACGCTAACGTCGTAGAGGCAGTGGACATATTGAATTGAATTACGGAGTATTAATTGATGGAGAGGTTGAACATGAGATGAATTTAATGAATTAGGCCACGAATGAATGACAGAAATATTAATGATAATGCTCTGTGCTCCAAGTTATTCAAAGCAGTCCGGGATTAGAGAGCATTGGCGATCAACATCATGATCCATGTCAAATTTTAAACTCCGGGGCCCCTTTTCACTTGCAAGCCCAACACGGGGCTCCCATCGGCATCATAACAATACTAAGTACTCCGTATTAATTTTCCCTTTTCTTGAATCTAAGATATCAAGTTGTTGTTATTTGCAAAGGGGAGTATGCTCTCCTGTCTGCTGTCCAACAAATCCGATTTATTTCACTTCACGGTTGCACCTTACATGTGAATTCACCAAAATATTACATCGCGACGCATCTCGATATCGACTCAGTCGGAAGAGTAAAAAGAGTGTTTCGTCTGTGGCACTTGAATCTGTCACTCATACTATTCAGTGATAGTGAGAGAAAAGGCTCAACAGCAGAAAGAAAGCCAAAGGACACCACAACAAATGTCGAACACAATCCCTTTCACTCTCGATCTCCCCACAATCCTCTCCCTCGCAACCGTCCTCTCACTCCTCCCGTTCTCTCTGATCCTCGCCATCCTCCTAATCCCATCCAACAACTCCAAGTACCGGTTCCTCTTCTTCTGGCACGCGTACGATGCTCTCACTCACTTCTTCATCGAGGGCTCTTTCCTCTACCACTGCTTCTTCAGCTACACGACTCTCCTGTCACCCGCATACGCCGTCGCACGCGCGAAACCCTATTTCCTGAATCAAGGCGATAAACTATATGGACCGGCCTATGGCGTTGGGCCTACAGCGAGGATGTGGCAGGAGTACGGCAAGGCGGATGCGCGTTGGCTCGGCGCGGATCTAGGCGTGATTGCGCTGGAGATATTGACCGTGTTCTTGGGCGGACCGGCAGCGGTGTATATCTGCTACATGGTCTACAAGGCTACGGGTTCGTCGTCAACCACGACGGCGCAAGAGGCGGCTAAGTATAAGGGGAGATTATGGTTTGTGGCTATTGGACTGGCGGTTGCAGAGCTATATGGCGGGTTCATGACCTTTGCGCCGGAGTGGCTGTCTGGGAATACAGCGCTGGAGACCAACGATCATGTTTATCTGTGGGTCTATTTGGTCTTTTTCAACATGCTATGGGTTTTCGTGCCGATCTGGGTGCTGTGGGCTGGTTGGAGCGAGGTTCACGGTGCATTTGTGGGAGCTGCCTCTGGTCTGAATGGGAAGAAGAGAGTGTGATATGGTATTCAATGACTTATAGCTACTCAACTGTTTCTTATTTCGTGATCCTCAAATATTTAAGTAAAAGAATATTACTGAAAATGGGACATGAAGGACAAAGGCCTCCTCGGAGCATTTCGTATTTGCTGATTCTGTACTCCGTACGGTTGCAGCGGAAATGATCACAGATCCACCTGTGGGTGGTGCCTTGCATCAACTTGCGGCTTTAGCTCAGTTGGGAGAGCGTTAGACTGAAGCCCCAACTTCAGTTTGCAATCTAAAGGTCGCCTGTTCGATCCAGGCAAGCCGCAGTTCATTTTTTCTTTGTTCTCTTTTTCCTTATATATATATATATTTTTTTCCCCCTTTCCCCTTCGTCTCGCTCAACTGTTTGCATAGGAATTGAGTATTAATATGCCCTTAATTCCTTGCTCCTCTACTCCGTACCCTTTCTCCATTGTCCATTAGCATATAGCTACTAATGAGCACATCAGGAACCGCATACAGAGTACCCCGTACACTCATCAAGGTTAGCACGCTGTGTTAACTTGTCTTTGCTTCGTATTTTCGTGATTTAAAGTCCTTGTCGCCATTCTGATTTGAAGGTTAGCCTGTAAAGATCAACACATATAGCCAGGCTTCTGCTTCCTCTTGCTCCATATTTCTCTTGGTAACGGCACAGGCTGAGAGCCGACAGAATGTTTTCGTCGCGAGGCATAATCCAAAGTGAGCTGAGAAGGGCTTGGTAGGAGCGCTGACTGCAGAACATCCTTCGCTTAAATGAGCCTCGGCGTGGTAGCCACGTGCGGTAAAGCAGGGATGGGGTGCCGTGCTCTGTTGTTTGGACAAGGACCAGAGCACACTCACTACTCCAAAGTTAGTGTCCACAAGAGCTTGAGTTCTTTGATACCCCCTAGCACGGTGCTCCTGCGGGCTGGGCTGTGCAACGCTGGTGAGCGAGCTGATTCGCGCTCTCAGCCTGACGCGAGGAACACACTGTGGCGCAAGTGTGGCTGGCTCCCCCGCGACGTCCCCGCCGTGGTTCTCCCCGCCATCGTCAACTTGTTACAATGGGAGAATAGGGCAGATCGAGGACGGGCCTAACAAACTATTATATTTGAGCCAGAACAGCCCAAAAAAAATAAAAAAAATAGCTAGCTCCTTCATCCTAATATTCACCCCTCGAGAATTTGTCTTGATTCCTCCCATTTTCGTTTCTCGCTGAAAAACATGGCCAATCCGTACCAAAACTACTCTGGGGCACCAGGTTGTATGTGTTGATGCCTGCCCCGATCCAATCCCAATTGCTAACTTACCCTTCTGAGAAGATAACCCAAACCCCGCATATGCTCAACCTGGTCAACAGCCTCCCCAACAGCCGCCGCCCCATGGTGCGCCTCCTCAGGGTTACTATCCACCTCCACAGGGCTACCCTCCACAGGGCTATCCTCCTCAGGGCTATCCTCCGCAAGGACAATACCCTCCGCCTGGCCAATACCCTCCACAGGGCCAATATCCCCCTCCCCAACAGCCAGGTTATGGGTATCCTGCACAACCTCCCCCGGGTGGGTACAGCATACCCCCAGGTGCTCCCGGTTACGGAGCGCCCGGCCAGTTTCCCCAGCCTGGGTACGGGGCACCCGTCGCTCCGACTCCACCGTCGCCAGGATATATTCCTGGCCAGATGGCAACAGGCCGAGATGCAACCAAAGATGCAGAGGCCCTCCGAAAGGCCATGAAGGGGTTCGGCACTGACGAGACGACCCTAATTGATATCTTGTCCCGTGCCGACCCATTGTATATGGCCCTCATCAACGATACGTACACTAAGAAGATCAAGCGAAATCTTGAGCAGGACATTGCCAAAGAATGCTCTGGAAAACTTGAAAAGGTTCTCTTGGCCCTTGTCCGTGGGCCATTGATGCAGGATGTATATGCGGTCAATGAAGCTATCAAGGGGATGGGCACAAACGAAAGCCTACTCGACAACGTGCTTCTCGGTCGAACCAACGCGGACATCAAGGCGATCAAAGAAGCGTATAAAAAGACATTTGGTTCCTCTCTAGAAGCTGACGTACGCGCCGACCTCTCGGCGGCCACGGAGCAGTTCTACAACAACGTCATGGCCGCCGAGCGCGCTGAAGAAGCCACACCCATCGATCCTAACTTGATCGACCAAGACGTCAAGAGTCTTCACGGTGCATTGCGTGGAAACCTCGGTGTCCCTAAATCCGTGGTCTTCCAGATGCTGGCCCGGCGATCAGATGCTCAGCTGCGTGCCATTAGTGATGCGTATAAGGCACAAAACGGCACGGATCTTGAAGCGGATATATCTGAACTCTTTGACGGCCATATGAAGGATGCCCTCGTGCAGATACTACGTGGAGCCAGAAATCCAGCCAGGAAGGACGCGCAGTTGTTGGAAGAAAGCATGGCTGGGTTTGGAACCAAGGATGAATTGCTGATTTACATGGCTGTTAGGGTGCACTGGAATCGCGACCATATGGAGAAAGTGAAAGACGCGTATCGAAATAAGTATGGAAAGGAGCTGAGAAGTCGTGTGGCAGGAGAGACGAAGGGCGACTATGAGAAAGCCTTGTTGGCGGTTTTGCAGTGATCACATCTGCACTGCATGTTTTTTTCCAGAGTAATAGTCAATTTCTTTTCAAATGATGATGATGATGATGGTACAAGTTCTGTTTGCTGCAACCATTCAAGTCTCTGATTTCTGATGTGGTTCAAAATGACTTGATATTGCTTGGTTTCCACAGCACGGCTACCATGTATCCAGCCCGTGTGCGGAGTAAAGTTTATGTATTAATATTGTTAAAGTAAGTGTTCAACTCTGTGATCCTAAATTTATCTTCTCATTTATGGATCCTTTGACCGCCACGTAGCATCCCCAAAAGTATATGCACGAAATAGGACGAATGGAGATGACAAGGAATACGCTCTGAAGTCCAGTAAAACCCTGGATTGGGGGCAATCGCCATCATTAATTACATATAGGTATCTCCGTATCATAATTCAGGGTCAGTCGCAAAAGCGGAAAAGAGCAAGAACTGTCCAATCTCCAATCTATATAAACTAGAAGATTAGCATTCGCTGGTCAATGGGAATAGAATAAATGGGACCCATGTACGGGACGTGACGGCACGTACCAGACAGCCAACCATCAACCACCACCTCATTATCCCATTATATACGGAGTACCCATCATATTGTTTACCAACCAAACCGAAAAATTAAGTAAAAGAAAGTCCCATCCGTCGATTGAATGCGGTCGCTCAACGATGTCGCTCATGGCTGTTATTGTCTTCATGATCGTCCTTCAACAACCCACGCACGCTCTCTCTAACACTAAAGCCACCAAATAGCCAATCATTCGCATGGCGACCGCAGTGATTCACAGTGCCACTTAGTCGCTTATAATCGTTGCTGCTTTTCCGCGAACTGTACGATTGTCGTTTCTTCGAGGACGAATGCGATTGTTCTGAGGGAGATGTTATCGGACTCATTGGCAGCGGAGAATCCATTACATGGCCAGAATGGGTGAAAGTGTTTTCCGTAGGTGACACCACGAGTGTGGTAGTAGTATCTGTGGCGTTGGTGATAATCGGTGCGGGAGATTTTGACCGTGAGAGACGAGTGCTCAAGAAGCGGCGGCGGGTTGGGGACTTAATGTCCAGCATTGTGTCGGCGTGAGAGTGCTTTTCTTTGTCGTGGGAGCTGTGGAAGCCGGGGAGATGGATGGGTAGAGATGGGATACGAGAATGAGACGACTTCTTGCTTGAATGGCCAGTGGTCGAAGATTGGCTATTGGATCGGCTGGACTGCGAACCAGATGGGGGGGAATCGGTCATTCTCTAGGTATGCTCTGTAGGCTGTCTGTTATGCGGCCGGAGACGTAGAAGATAAGTTTCTCGAGGCGGTAAAAGAAAACACTTCTATTATTAAACGCTTTGAGAATCGAATAGTCGATTCAATCGACGACGGCTAATGTCAAAGCTTGAATTGGGCAACGACTAAAGAGAGTAGATCGAAGACGCGCTGCGCCGTTGCACACTGCTTCCCAGCGCCAGAGCGGGCCCCCGTGGCCGATATGCAGGCAAGTGCAGTTTCCAGGCGTCGTGCCACAAATTGTGCCAATCCAGTGGCTCTCAACTCTCCGGGAGGTCGAAGAAGAACAAGAGTCACGAGAGAGTTGCTGTCGTTTTAATCAAACTGACAGACAATCCGCGCAGCTATGGGGAATCGAAACAGAAAAGTATTGAAACGAAACGGCATCCCGCCAGCAGTATTTATACGCAAGCCCGATCCCTTCTTTGATCTCGAATTCCCCTCAATTCCTGCAATCTCGCTGTGAATCAGCGATGGGCCCGGCAAAAGAGCAGCTTCACGATTGGCTGTGACGTATCCCATTGCAGGGATCTCGCATTTGCGCTTCACCCGAAGGAGTCATCGCGCCGCTGCCCCGGATCACCCATTGGATCGTTGGTGGGATAGTGGACAGCGAGGGCATCCACAATCCACTCTAGTCCGCGTTGGGTCGGAATCCCCACGGTCAAGCAGCCCTGTGATCCTTAGATTCCCGCACTTTGAGGGTGGTGAGCCGCATTCCCATCCATAGGGCAGCCGAGTTGAGGCGGTGACTGGACTTGTGTGCCAAGAACAGCCCGCACGATGCCACGAAACCGATCGGAATGGTTGGATGAGAGATTATCTGGCCGCAACACAGCAGGCCTTTCCTTTTTTTTTTTTTTTTTTTTTAAATTGTTATTTTAGCTCAAGTCATCTTGAGAAGCGGGAATATAGCACGAAGGTTTGGATTTCGTGCAGGTCTGGTGGTGTCTTACACAAAAAGGCTGACGAAGTTGGATAACTTATGTCGTTGGAGAACTTTAAATTCCAAATTGTCGGGAGTTTAACGAGCTCGCCCAGTTCATTCTTTAAAAGCTTGACATGGGCTTAAAAAACAAAAATACTTGTGATACTTTTTTGGATTTTTGACTTGTGGATGGAATTCGATCTAGCTGGAACCGAGTATTCCCGGAGGGAATCGCCCGAGGCTTTAAAAAATCCAGCATCTTGATATGTGCGATACATGGGCCATTTGCACTCAAACCAGACATCAGAGCCGAAAACGCTGTCTATCTTTCAAGTCGATGCAAATGCTAAGCTTGTTCGCGACAAAAGCCATGCACCGTGACTACCTTGGTGCAATCTTTCCCCTGACTTTGCCCATACAGGGCTCATGACTAACCTGTTGCTTGAACGTGTTCCGTCTCATGCTCGAAAAAATAAGAACAGGGTTCTTGCTGAAAATTACCTAAAATGTTTCAGCTCTAACTAGTTAATGCCTCGATCATTTCATCTACCCGAAAAAGCTACGTTAAAAAATGCGTTAGAGAAAAAAAATTCTTGATATCTGAATTTGTGCTGTGGTTTATCAAGGCTGGAACCGAACGCGCGAAACGTCAATTTGGCCGAAATAAAATATCTCTCAAAACCTGTCAGGGAGATATCAAGAGCAACTGAGCAAAGTGGACTTGTTCGGGCTTCGAAGACCAGAGTCTGGGCCGCATATATGCAGCTCAACGTTTCGCAAGACAAAGAACTGAGAGGCCAAAAATTTACCTCTTGGTTGATGGAACCAAACATGTGCATTGGCAGACGACCATTGTCAAAGATTGGGCGAGCCGCCCCGGAACCGATATCATTTTATCAACGTATTTTGGACGGCTGGCTGCATTTCACTCAGTCGAGAGTGTTTTGGCGCACAGTCCGAGGTCACTCTTATGATCCTTGCAGAGGGAAGCCAGCACCGTTCTTGGCGCTATAGCAACTCTCTTGGCACGAGCTGAAAAATGCCATCGTGTATCATCTGGTGCTCAGTACTCTATATATATTCCATGAAGAGTAACTAACAGCGTCCTCGTTGATCGAATCTCCTTGTGCTCCTGTGGATCAATGGCTTGGTCAAAGCCTAGACATCTATGACGAATGCTATTCCTATTTTCGGTTACTACTTAAATCAGCACGCTCGAATAAGCGGTACACATGGTCTAAAACATGGCCAAGGGCTTGTACCATATTCGGAACTTCCAGTGATGACCTTGCTATGCCTGATAGCTCGACATGCCCTTTACGCCAAAATATTTTTGTCTAATATACTCGAGGTTAACCTTAATATATTGCTTCGCGGTGCTGCAGCTATTCCATGCTGCAAACGCTTAGTCGGAGTGCTATGGTAGCTCCTGTCTCTCTAGATTTGGCGAAATGCTCATTCCTATAAGATCTTCGCCATACAGCAGACTGACGACCATTCTTAAAACGCATATTACCATTCCATCTGTCGAATGAAAAGGCGCACTATGGGGGAGAGGGTGACGTATGTATAAAATTTGAATCACCTTGTGGACTAAGGAAGAGGCAAGGCACAATGGCTAATTCCAACTCCAAGGGCCACCAAAACTTTCCCATCGCTCGGCTACAAGGGGTTTGAACAAACCACCGGGGTTTGCAAATTTCTGTTCTGTGAACTCTGTTTCTAGAGTTGAATTATGCGATGGAAATCGCCCATGGTTGGCCATCACGCATAAGGGTGTCTGCAATGTTTTGGCACAGAAGCGGCCATCCAGGGTCTGGGATGCAGTTGAAAGCCGAATGAATACTTTCCGGGATAGACGGAACGCCCTTCTGAGAGAGACGTCTGCCCCAGCGGATTTCCTAAACTATGTTCTGGAGGAAAGGCTGCTGTGAAGAGCTAAGCAAATTATTGATATGGGTCGCCTGTGCCACATGCGTCAGAGATGGGAATAAATAGTTACCTGATATTGAAAAATAAGTCAAGAACCGGCAAATTTTCATGCGGTTGCTAGGAGTATGGCTATTTGAGCTTTTGTTCCTGCCTGAATTTTTACAGTCACCGATTGCGACGACAGCTCCGTCGAGGTGGTGATCAAGAGCAGCTGCGGGGTGTTTGCTCTGCCAATCCCATAACTTTTCGGTCATGAGACTCTGTGAAGACCATTTCGATTTTCTTAAAACTTAAAACAAGAATGAGATCGAGGAATTCTTCTATGGTTTCCCCCTGCCATGATGATAACACAGGAAGATTTGACGGGCCTGAAGGGACCGAGATGAAGAAACCGATGCTATGCGATGCGTGGCCTTCAGAGCGGAACTAGTCAATCTGGTCGCGGCCTCGATGTGCCATCTTCTTGGCAGGGGAACTTCGCTTGGGACAAGCTAACTAACTAAGTAACGAACTACCTAACCAAGCTCGGTACTCCGTAACCTGTCCGCCAAGCGCAGCGCCACGCAGCTGTGGCTTGCTGCCCGCTATGTAGTTACCGATTCACTTCGACAGTTATATAGCGGGCTGGACGAAGACGGGCTTCTCATGCTCCAGGTATGCCCCCTACCAGGGCCTCACTTGCACCAGGTGAACGTTGCGATGCCATATTCATCTGATACTTATATGATGATTCTTTTCCGGCCAACGCCCCTGCGCCTGCACCCGTTACCCTAAATCAACTCGAACTTCTCGCCCTCCTCGACTCACAGCAGCTCTTCAGGATCAAAGTATTGATGCTGAGGTGAAAAGAGATACTCAAGAGGTGTTCCGAACTTGAGCACTATCTCAAAGGACTAAATTCTACTTGGAATTCTTTCTAAGCTTGATGCCAGTTTCTTCTCTCTCTTTGCGCATATTCCCCGCAGGCTTCTCTGTCGATACATAATAGATGGTGTTATCCCTCATTCATGGCGGCTGCTCTTTGTCGCTGGCTATGTTTGCTTTGTGACAATACTAAAAAATCCCAGTGGTTTCTCCATAGGTATCTGCTTCTTGGAGCTCTTCCTTTATGAGCCTGTCATGGAATCATCGCGCTTAAGGACTCAGCTTGTCTTCTCAGCGGATAGCTGGGAGTTTCTTGCCAGGACCTCTTCTTCTATCCATTTTGTCTGCTACTGATGAACCTGAAAGTTTGTTCAGCACTTGACAGCTTGGATTCTGGGATTTCCTGTGGCAGAAGCCACGACCCAATCAGAGGCACCTTCCACTATCAATTTCTGAATAATCGAAGTTATTCACATTAAATTCAAAAGTTCTCATGAGATTCATTGCATGAGGATATCCATTTTACTCAGTTCTCATTGTTAATCATATGTATCATTAAGTTTTACAGGAAGCCTGCCCAGCCAGCAGCAGCTTTTTGAGGCTTGATTGAAACCGCAATCTTAGCTTAGACGGGAGATTTTGGCCTGTCGCCTCTATGGAACCAGAGGATATCCGTACCATCATTGGGATCAGCGTCGCGGCCACTGCTGTCATCATTTTCTGTGGTTACTGTACTTGGAGAGGGGTCAAACAGCTCGACAAATTGAGGGGCTCTAAGCACGAAGTGCTACCAGTGCGCGAAGAAGAAACAGCACGCGTCCGCTTTTCTCCCAACGTCCAGGTCATTTAGATACTTCGGATCAACTGGGCTCAGGAACATCGGCGCTGTGGAGTGGGGGACAGCTCTGTAACATGTGGCGAGGCTTTATTTCCATTAATGGCTCCAGTTCACAGTCATATTTTGCAGTCCAGACAGAGCATCCTCCCTCCTCGTCCTGCACAAGGCCCACCGGGCCAAGTACGTGCTGTCAATTCCGTCTTTGGGTTCACATCCCTTTTGTCTCTATTCGTGGCTTCATTCCTCATCTTCGTTGCCGCCATATTTTGTTGGAAAATTAGTGCCTTTCTCCGCATATTTACTCGACATAGGGTGATCGGCGGAGGAAAAGAGGCAGGCATTCGCTATGCAAAGACGTGGTATGGTTGGGTACCTCTGGATCGTCGTCAAAAGCAGCGGCAGCGGAGGCAGCAGTGGTTCAAGACACTTCGAGGCTGGTTAGCCTGGAGAACTTGTCACACCGATTACAGTTGGGTCTGGTGGGACCCGCAAGGCAAGAAACTTGAGAAGAGAGTACGAGACCAGCAGCCCTTGAGTTGGATCCCATCGTCGTTGACAGGCTATGTCTTTGACCCTGCCGGCTCCACGTCCAGTCTAAGTCATCAAGTCAAGCGTCCCCAAGACGAAGGAGTGGCAAATTTAACCGCCAAAAATGCGTCAAAATTGAAAAGCAGGGATGTCGTGCCTGTTGAAAATTCACATTTTCCTTTTGTGCGGAAGCGGCCTAAACGAGAAAGACAACTTCGAGTTCCCCAGGAGCATCAGCCGTCGCCCAACATCAGTAATACTCTAGCCTCCCAAGCTGATATCACATTTGGGAATGATGGGCAGCTCAGTCTGAATGAACAAGAAAACCGTCCAGCAACTCCCTACTTACCACCTGCTTGTAAATCATCGTCCAAGCGCTGTGTTTCGCTCCCGCATTCAACCTTTGAAGTAACACAGAAAAGCGAACCCCGACCCGCACACGTCCCAAGATGTGTATCTGATGGAGCTTCATTCAAAAACCCCAAGTTATGCGAGAATCCACGCTCTAAGAATTCCACAGCAGCGTCCACACCTTCTATTCTAAGTACTGGTGGCTTCGAGGAACCAATGCCAACCATGAAGGCTGAGAAGCACTTGTCATGGAGATACAAGGCTTGGGGCGCACGAATGCAACGCGCAACCTTTCCTAATACACCGATTTGGCTATGTGGACTCGCCGGTCGGCCTGGAACTCCATTTCCAGATGCCCTAAGGAGCTTAATTTCGACAGGATCAGGCTCTGAATGCTGCAGGTCAACAATAGATTATTCTCATTTGCCCGTTGCGTCTAACTCCTCCATGGCTGGTATCTATTCTCAATCAAAGCATGCCATCTCGCCTTTACCATACCGCTTTAGGATGCATCCAAGTCAAAAAGAAAGGATACGCACAATCTACTCAAGCACGGATCGTTTTCTGAGTCAGTCTTCACTGAAAGCTAGCCGCAAGTCGTTTAAGAATCATTCGGATCATGCCATAGAAGAACCGGGTCCATCTGTTTGGACCGCCAAACAGTTACAGAACCAACATGGCGGCAGTATTCGAACTCAAAGACAAATCAGTAACCCTGAGGTACGCTTGCTTGACGACCTTGAACGCAAACTTGAGTGGCTCTCTAGCGAAATGGACCCTGGGCGCAAAACGGATAACTTTTCAGTAGTCTATAACCACTGGTTGAACAAAACCACATGGGTAGTCTATGATCCGCCGTCAAGAGTTCCATCTACAGAGAGAAGGCTTTATGGAGATCCTAGGTTCAATTATCCTTATCAGGCTAAAAGTGAACTTCGCAAAGCGGAACGTCCTCCCATTCAAAGGAGCAAGCTGCACACTCCCAAAATAGATTCGTGGCGTTTGGCGGTAAATTCTGCGAGGCAGTCAGCTGGAGTTCAGAGATTTTTAAAGGCAGTGGAGTTATTTGAAGGTTCTGCCGACGAACCACCAGATGGCGCGATCGACACTGCGACTTGGATCCTAAGAAAACCTCCACAGGGGTTCGAAATGTCGACGAAACAAAAGAACGCATATTTCGAAGGTTGCGGTGGATGGTGCGAGAAGTTAGATTACTGGCAGAACGTTCCGAGAGCCTACCGGGCGCGAAAGGTAATTTGTGAAGGAAAAGCGAACCGAAGGAGGATGGCGGAGGTGGCGAAGATCGTGACCAGGGGCTGTAAGCGGACCGTCAGCAAGGTTGTGCCTCGTTTACCTCAACATAGCAAACGGAAATCTGCAGTGAAAGATGCAGGAAGGGTAACAAAATCAAGCTGGCATCCGCCGCCGCCGAAATATCAGAAAAGGAAGAAGCCTGTTCTGAACGGTCACAGAGCCGGCTTAATCGAGCGTCATCCCAATATACCTTATGCCATTGCTCCCAACGCTTTTATGTCAATCGCCGCTTCAGTTAATTTGATTCTGGGAGAGCGCACAGTGCGCCCCCTGGATGCTCCACCAGTTGGAGCATAGCATAGCACCAGCTATTTTGGAATTATTTCTCTGCATCTGGTTTCTTCCTGTTGCTACTAACTGCATAGTCCGGACTCGCTCGTTGTCATGCGCCTCTTGGGCTGTCTCCGCTATTTTTGACATTTTTATTTCGGGTCTTGGGAAGGGTTTATAATTCCATTCGTTTTTATTCAGGGTAGATAGCTGTCTAATAATTGAAAACATGGCACTTAAAAGGATTCCCTGAACTCCGATTCAATGCGCCCAGATCCCAGAAACAAAAGGATTATTGTACACAAGCCACATTATCCTCACCGTTGTGAATCGTCCGGCAAGGAGAGGCCACAAGCTGCAAGAATGTTGAGACCCGACATAGGTTCGTATAAAGGTGGGAATGAAGCAGAGCTGCAGCTAAAACCCCGGGGGGTTGACTCTCTGGCTCACTCGAGTCCACTTTGGAAGCTCTGTAACGAGAAAAAGACAAAGTCAGAACAGGCATTCAGTAACGCTTTTACACCGTCGTGCATCCCAAACTCCTTTTTTCCGAAGCAAAGCCTGATGGAAGAAGCACCCCCAGCTCCGTATTCCCCAAAAAAAAAAAAAAAAAAAAAAAGAAAAGAAAAGAAAAGAAACACGTAGCGAGTGTACATACTATGTATTCCCTTTCTGTACGTCTTCTCCTTCCGATCGAAGATCGTATATTTATCCTTCGGCAACATCTCCTCTTCTCTCGGCATCTCGCTGTACCATCGTTCAACCGCCTTGGCGCTCTTTCCGCCGTTGCGCTGGAGAGCTGCATTCACGGTGTCAACGACTTTGTCTACTGCTCGTAAGCGCTTGCGCTGCCGTGCTTTTTGCATGGATGAGAGGCGCCAGGGGATTTTCCTAGATGAAAAGAGCTGGTTAGCTGTGGTTGCTTTTGCGATTGTGAGGATGGCGGGGGAGGCTCGGAAGGGATTGGAGTACCATAGCAGACCTCCCATTACGGGAGAAGTGGGCTTGAACATCTTTGCGAAAGAAAAGAACACTGCGGGTTAGGACGATTGTGATCGCGGTCGCTGACGGGGTTGGTGCTGGAGCGGTGATGCGAGTTGCGAGATGATTTTCAAGGTGGTCCGTGCACGACGGTTTCCCTTTTGTTCTCAGAGCGAAAACTGTCATCAAACGCGGGTAGTATATTAAACATTTGGATTCGCTCCCGCCGGACAAACTGTTCCCTCATTGCATTGCAAGCGCGTTTGCTGCTTTTACAGCTGCTCAGGCTGATTTTGTGTTCTCTTAATATTTGCGACCAATGGAAAGTCGGTAACATTCTGACCTGTGCGCTTCATCGATGCATCTCAGCCATGGGACGTTGGAACAGCCTTCCTCCTTCTGGAGGTTCTGCTCTTCCTTGACCATGTTCCAAGTCGCAGCATTGTGCCGTGGCTTTCTTTACACCTTTAACACGACAGAGGTGCATGGACAAGAAGCGTTTCTGAAACTCCTGGATGAACGGAGGGACCATACGAGCAGAACGAGGGGTTTAATAACTGGTAGGCTTTGCGCTCTAGTATTCAAATGATGATTCCATTCCGACAATATATTATAATGAATGACCTGGTCACTAAGATATATCTTTCTTTTGAGATAGTTTCGAATCATATTAGCGTGTACGTAGATGAATAACCGCGTCTTGGAAGCACTCGACGAAGTATATGAACTGAATGAACTATGGCTGCAACATAGTATGGATGACCCTTTGATGTGGGGAACTATCCCGCTGCATAATCACTGGGGATATCAGTCGTTCAATCGCAGATGGGCGTTTGGAAGCCACGACATCTGTTTCAGTAATAGGTGGGCAGATTTCCAATTGAGTAGCCAATATGAAGAGCCTTTTCGCCTGATGTGGAGTTTGGTATATCATTAGGGTCCTTTCTGCCTTTTTCACGCTTGGTCAAGTCCTTCCGACGCATAGGCTCTACCATTCCCCCTACGGTGGCCTCTTCCAGCCTACCGTCACTCAAGCGATCCGATTGCTCTCAAAGGGTCCGTTCCCTACAAATCCCCACACCGCGCCGGCTGATCTGCAACAATGGAGCCTGCAGAGTGTCTGCGTCGACCCGTTCTCTGAGGTGCCCATGGCATATACTACCACAAGCCATGATTCATACTTAGCACCGTCAGCATACGCATGCAACTCATATTCATGGATTCATATCTTCCCAGAGGGCATGATCCATCAGTCCCCGCCCAAAACCATGCGGTATTTCAAATGGGGCGTATCCCGGTTGATCCTCGAAGCGTCACAATGCCCTGACGTCGTTCCTATGTGGATAGAAGGAACGGATGAAGTTATGCATGAGAGTAGGACGTTTCCGCGGTTCCTCCCGAGAATAAACAAGAAGATCAGTGTCACTTTTGGAGAAAAAGTTGACGTTGAGGCTGTTTTTGGCGACTTAAGGCGACGCTGGCAGAAGATAAAAGCTGAAGCTGAGAGAGAAAGTGGATCTGCTCCCCTGGGAGTTCTCAATGAAGAGCTCATGTACGGGGAAGAAGCAGTGGAACTGCGGAAAGAATGCACGATGAAAGTTCGAGAACTAGTCCTCCAGGTTCGCCGCTCACGAGGGTTACCAGATGAGGATCCCAAAGCCAGTCTTGCCGAGACTTGGGCACAAGAAGGCCCGAAAAGAGAAGGCAAAATGGAGGACGACTCTTGGGTTCGAGATATTTGATCGTATGTATTTGTATCTATCCTATATGATTTGCTGATAGACGTGTATACCACTAGAAAAAAAAATGCATGATATTGTGTTTGTTATTGCGAGCTGGCTGCGGGCCCATTGAGGCTGACCCGGTTGTGGCAAGGCTCGACGTGCGGTGCGAATTACTAACTTACATTAGTCGGTATTGCCTTGCTTCCAGATGTTGCCGTTCGTTCTCATATCGTTGTCCTCAGGTGGACACCCGCTTTAATCGTTTTAGGGATGGAGGATAAGCAATAATCATTTTGGCAGCAATCCACGGAGACGAAGATTAGGTTTTGGTCTGCTTCTTCGGCAGCGGAGCTATATTAATAATGACGATTTGAATCTCGTCAGCTATCTCCATTTCTAAGCTGGACTTGCAACTGGCTGTTCAAGCTCCTCCTCTCCACAATCCGCCGTGGATAGCCGAGCCGCTCAACATCTCTACGGGCTCCAACCTCAGACCCCGATGAACTCCCTCTCCGCTCCCCAGGATTTTACACGGGAGTCCCACAGGGCGGTGGCATGAGTTGGCAACTTCACGATGTGAAATTCCGGGGAAATGTTGGGAAGTATGGCCTGTTTTAACCTTCTTACCAATTGAGAAAACGAAGGACTGGAACAACAGACCGGAGGAGAGACAAAACGTACGTTGTCTACCGGCATCAACCAGTGCCCATTAACTTTCGAGCCGGGTCCACTCGAACATGATCCTCCCTCATGCCCAACTGCCAGCCCTTATTAATAATTGAGAGGTTGTATTGAAAGCGCGCCCTTTCGTATCTGGCCGTTATAGAGCAGTAAGTAGTAGCAGGCAAAAGTAGAATTGCTCACAAAAGAGTACTATGACACTCCTCTCAAAAAGCAATAAGCTTCTGAGAAGCCTGGTATTGCTTAGAGGCGGAGTTTACACAATTGGCGGTTTAAACGAAGTGGACCTCGGTTTCAAACCTCAACCTTTCCACAGATTGGAGGCGATCGTAGGAATGCCTAATCCCTCTGGTCCCCGTATCAACCCATTAGTATGCGGGAAATTATCACGACCTCAATTCTTCATATCACACGGAAGGACCGGGCATCAGACGGGTTAGTGAAGACTAAGTGTTCAGTGAAGAAATTCTGCAGGATGCTCAAAAAAAATTCCAGGGGGTGGTGTGAGGTGCGTCAGTGGCGTGGATGGCTAGGCGAGGATTGGTGGGGATCGATCTGCAAAGCAAGCATCCAAGTTTTGCCCGAAGCCGCGATGCATTCCCAGAGGGTACCGACTCGCTTTTGATGGTACGAGTATCGGCTTCCGCCTCCAATTCAACTTCGACAACCCTATATGTATGGACGGAAGGCCAGCCGTCCACCACAGTGAAGCACCGATCTCTCAAAGGCCCACAGAATTTCGTTCGAGCACAAGAACCTCTGTAATGCAGCTCGATCGTGATGGCTGCTAGCTATGGGATCCCGGGAGGCTGCACACGCACTATGTACTTGCCGCCGCTTGGGCAATGTCGCCGCGCCGAGCCCTGGCCCGTGGATCTACAACCTCCCGCTAACGCCCGAAACGGGAAAGGCGGTGGAAAAATGGAAGACGCCTGGAATCACTTTATTCTCCGAGGTGTTGGCTTGGCATCCGGCCGTGGGTATGTTTCCTTACGCCCCCGATGTCCCGGAATGACGAGTTTGCGCAGTTTCGTGGGCGTAGTCTAGAGGGGTGGCCAAACGGCCTTTGATCCTCTAGCCCAGTGCACAGCCTGTTCACCTCCGCCCTCAAGAGAGCCGGAGAGTCTCGCATGTGGCCATTCATGTATCCACCCGCTCGAACGGATCTCCAGAACCCTCAGAGGATGATATGTGCCACTGGCAATCGCCGGGCCCTTATCAGAGGCCGCTCTCATTCGACGGTGCCGCTTTTTTCCCCAAAACCCCGGAGATAAAAAAGCCTTTTATGATAACCATATCAGGTGGACTCGTGAAAACCCTCTCATCAGCCGCTCACCCAAATAATCCTCTCGGGTCAGTCCATTCCCCACAACCCGGGGTCTCTCGCCTCCAGAATTTTATTTCGTTCAAAACCATAAGCATCGCCTCCCTTTCCTTCTCTGGAAATCTCAGCATAATATCACACTTATAACATTCGTCCACTCTTCTGCCCTTGCATTCTCAACTGACTGCCATACCTTTCTCTCATCTGCGTTCAGCCATATATACCCCTTTGCCGAGATTCTTCCTTCCGATTTGTCTGAAAATTATTTTTTTTTTTTTTTTTTTTTTTTTTTTTTTTTTTTTTTTTTTTTCCATTTTTAACAATCCATCGCTCGGCACCCGGTGTCTGACCGTTCGTCACCATGGGCTTCTCTGAAAAAGAGATCTCCCAGGAGGACAGCACCTCTGTGCAGCTGCCACCTTTTGCTTCTAAAGATGAAGAAGTCGCCTTGGAGGTAGAGGTCGCCCAAGACCAGCCAGGATTCTGGACTCGGATGGGCTGCACCCCGGAATCCTTCAAGAAACGAACTCTCGCAGACAAACATAACCAGTTGAACCAGACGTTGAAATCCCGTCACCTGCATATGATAGCAATTGGCGGAAGTATCGGCGCAGGTTTTTTCGTTGGTTCAGGCTCAGCATTAGCAAAAGGTGGTCCAGCAAGCGTTGTGATCGACTTTGCAATTATTGGTGTCGTAAGTGACGCGAGATTATCCTCTGTGTTGACATCGGTTAATATTTCTTTCCGCAGATGATATTTAATGTCGTATTTGCCCTTGGAGAATTAGCCGTCATGTACCCAGTGTCTGGAGGGTTCTATATATACTCAAGCCGATTCATCGATCCATCATGGGGCTTTGCCATGGGCTGGAACTATGTTCTCCAGTGGCTCATTGTCCTTCCCCTTGAGCTCACAGTGGCTTCACTGACTATAAACTTCTGGAAAGTTGATCTCAGTGTTGCTGTATGGATAACAGTCTTCCTGGCGGCCATCATAATAGTCAACATCTTCGGAGTTCTTGGATTCGGAGAGGAAGAGTTCTGGTCTAGTGCACTGAAGCTCAGTGCAGTTGTCATATTTATGGTGATAGCAGTGGTTCTCGTTTGCGGAGGAGGTCCAAAGGATGGAATTTATTCTGAATACTGGGGGGCAAGGTTGTGGTATGACCCCGGGGCATTCCGCAATGGCTTCAGGGGTAAGTAACCAAATCTGGCAGCGGCAACACACCGTGAAACAAACTTCATGAACTATAGGATATATCCCATGCTAACCTGTTGGTGGCCAGGTTTTTGCTCTGTGTTCGTCACTGCAGCCTTCGCATTTTTTGGCACTGAGCTAGTTGGACTAGCAGCAGCCGAGAGCAAGAATCCCCTAAAATCGCTTCCATCGGCAATCAAACAAGTATTCTGGCGCATTATCTTGTTTTATATCCTCGGTCTTTTCTTCATTGGTCTTCTCGTCCGCTCCGACGATGACCGCTTGCTTGGTGCAAACCCTCTGATCGACACCAATGCCTCGCCGTTCGTGATTGCTGCCCACGACGCTGGTCTCGTCGGCTTTGACAGCTTCATGAATGTTATCATCCTTGTTTCAGTTTTTTCAATTGGAAACTCGGCCGTCTTTGCAGGATCTAGGACCCTAACAGCCATTGCTGAACAAGGATACGCACCCCGTATCTTTTCCTATGTTGACCGAGCTGGTAGGCCACTTATCTCAACAGGCACACTCATTGCATTTGGTGGTCTGGCATATGTGAATGTCACTGCAAGTGGTGTTGAAATCTTTGACTGGCTCCTTGCGCTGTCTGGCTTAACTGCGCTCTTCACCTGGGGAAGCGTAAGTTGAATCCCTACCCCCCTCCATTTCCCTAAAATAAAAGGAGAAAGAAGGAGGAACCCAATCCTCTGGTTGCGCAGGAATTCAATATTAACTCCGATGATATCCAGATTTGTCTCGCTCACATTCGGTTCCGCGCTGCCTGGGCACATCACGGTCGCACTCTTGATGAGATCCCCTTTAAGGCTGCCCTCGGTGTCTGGGGTTCCTGGGTTGGGCTATGCTTAGTTTGCCTAGTCCTTATCGCTCAAGTAAGTGTGACTTCCGGTGGTTCGACAAACGTGTCCAATCTAACCTGTGTTGCGTAGTTCTATATCGCTATCTGTCCAGTTTCAGGTGGCATTAATGACGCAAAGGGCTTTTTCAAGTCATACCTTGCTCTTCCCGTCGTCCTATTCTGCTGGGCTTGCGGCTATGCTTGGAAGCGCAAGGGATGGCTGAAACTCGACGAAATCGATATCGACTCAGGGAGAAGAGAGATTGACTGGGAGGTTTACAATCAGGTGTTGGAGAAGAGAAAGAACTCTTCGTTCATGAAGCGCCTTTACTACAGGCTCTTTTAAGCATAGCGACGTCCATTTTGTTGAAATAAACGAAGACAATTCAGCACACTTGCAGCGTGTTAGCAGTTGAGTACCAATATGCACAGGGTTCAATCAATGGCGCCTGGGATGTCGAAACCTTACCTAGAATTATCAGCTATAGCTCGAAATTTTGATAGATCTGGTCCTTTCTTTGAAGTCGTCTTCAAGGTCGTCTCGTTAATATATGGATGTTTTAGTCCGTACCCTGCGGAGTATATTCTACCGATTGGCTCCCAGTCAGATCTGGCTCGATAGGGGCACCGCATTTTGTGTAAGGGACACCAGGATTAACATGGTTATATGGAGTACTATTACATACAATCTTACAAGGGGTGTAAAAGACAATTGTGACGCTGCACCTGGGTGCTTTGTTTTCCTCATCTCAAACCACCTCTAGACTCCAATCCCTGAATACCTTCTATGTCACAATGAAGAAGGAATCAAACTTGCAATCATGAGCACTGTACACACTGGTGGTGAAGGGATGCTTGTGATGCTATCAACTTACCTAGTTCATACATCACCTGTAAGTCCATGTAACATTATGACCAATGCCACCCTTATTTCGTTATAGGGGTGGTGTCCCGAGACAAAATGCCGTGCCCCCGAGGCTCTTTGCCGATTTCGGGCTTGGCAATTTCCACGCTCTCCACCGAGTCCCAGTGGTTCTTGCGCCCTTTTATCTACATACTGCATATCAGGGCATGGCAAGGAAAGTCACATAGCAAAGTTCTCCATCAGAATCTATAGGAAGATCACCTTAGCTCAACAAGGAGGCAGAGTAGACTCTAGCTCATAGAGTAGCGAGTCAAGAGTAAGAACTTCACTTTGCACGCTGGCGTCCTTGATGACAGACCAAAAGCCCAACTTTGAATATCTTCAGCTGAGGGGGCCTGGCTGGCACCTCGGAGGTGTCGAAGTCGCTTGCGGAGTGGACACTGAGGGCGCTCAAGAATGATCATACCGCCATGTGTTGACAGAAACTTTATGATCTCTGGATGAGGCCCTAATCACTCGTATAACACACAGTCTTAAGTTGATTGCGGTTCTCATCAGTGAGAAGCGGGATCTTATTTGGACACCAGGACGGAGACACCACTAGAGAAGATCAGCCACATTGCCATATATAAGCTGACTCTTGCAATTCCATTGAATTTGTCATGGATTTACTTTGTCTTTATGTCCCAACGAACCGTGAAGTTGCTTTAATCGAGAACAAGATTTAGGTTGCGGAAAGTTGTCGCCTCAACTTTCACCTGGTTCTTTGTCAGCAGCGTTCAGCTCAGAGTCGGCGGGCTGGAAGTGTTTGTCCCACTGATGGCTGTCTCATTCTTCTCTGACGAACCATCTTGATGAGATCTCCAGTTCTCGATGCCCAAAAAGCATCGCAAGTTTAAGCTAATCAAGCCAGAAGCGTCCGTCCACCATTCTTTAGCATCTTCCTCTTCTCGACGTCGAAACGACCCCTCACGCTCCGAGCAGCTCTCCGTCAACGACCTTATCCAGCACCTACGGCGGACGCAACTTTCGACGGTCGAGCCCCAGAATGTCGTGGGTGCAACAGAAGTCGTCGCAAAATCCGTACACCCATCGATAAGAAATATTTTAGATTTACCCGCTCCGCCGCCCCCTCGTCCACGTTCCGGACTAAGACCGCAGATAGGCACCCGGAGACTACGACGAACTCCTGGGCCTGCAGCGCCTTTGAGCTGGCTGTCACAAAACCACGAACGGCCTGTAAACGATGAGAGCAGAAGTGCCGGTTACCATGGCGAGGTTCAACGACACCTTGACCGGCTACCAGGACTAAATTTCCCTCCAGAGCGATCCCTACAGCATACCATTCTAAAGACCATGGCATCCAATTGGGATTGGCATCTCGTTTACGATGGAATTTTCCTCTCCGAATTACCAACGCAAGTTAGGCAATTGCTGCTTAGTTACATCGCTGTCTATACCGACCACGCGACCATGGGTGCCGGTATGCAGGGCTTAAAACCGCTCTTTTTGGACAAGACTCCGGATGGTGAAGTAGAGACACATCCAGATGTCATCCGACTTGATCTGTCTGGTGCACTTGGGCACTGCATTACCTTGAAGTTACTGGTGCGTGAGCTGAAATATGAACTCCCTGAATTGAAAAGGGAAGATGCGTATGTCCCCGCTTCGTGGGAAGAGGAAGCATCAGATGAAGCCAGTTCTAGTCGAACCAGTCTCACTACTCGCCAACCTTTCCTTCCGCGATTTGAAAAACTCAAATATCTATCGCTTGCACAGCCAGCACCGGCGGCAGCAAATTGGGGTTCCCTTCTCCATCTACTTTCTCAACTAGCAACTCTAACGCATCTATCACTCGCACACTGGCCAGTTCCTACCCTATCCATCAGTACAGTAGTGAAACACGGCCCGTCCACGACTTTTGAGCAGCGCTTGTCACCGTCCGATGATGATATGTCTGAAGCAGCAACGGTGCTCGGAAAGCTTTCTCGGGCAACTTATTGTCTGCAGTGGCTGGATCTTGAAGGCTGCACTGAGTGGCTTCCTTCTCTTTGTTGGAGCAGAGAGAATCAACATGCTTCCCTGGGTCAGCCTCTGGGCCCTGAATGGAATGGATCGTGGCGTGGGATAGCATGGTTGGGCTTAGGCTTTGGATGGGCGAAAGAGGTGCCAGGACCCGAGGATGACCTTATTAGCAACGAGAATATGCAGCAAGAAGAGCATTCGCTTGGCCATGGGGAAGCTGGGACTCGACGGGTTACTCTCCGCCCTGGTCAAGATTTACTTGCGATAGACAACGCACATGGCCATGGACAGGCAATTCAGAAAGGATCCCGTCTCCGTTGGCAAGAGAAAATGTGGCATCTACATGTCGCCAAGGCGAAAAATATCGGGAGGTCGATTCAAAATCTCAGGTCTGAAGATAAGGGGAAGTGGATTGAGGTCTCCGTTGGAGATGCAAAACCATTCTCTACTTAATAACTAGCACGTATCGACACAGAAATCATGCTATGTGACGATGACTTCGAAAACTATGATTACTCCTAGATGCATAGTAACTATATGAATTCTTGTGATAAAATTTGGGTATTCTTCAATAGGAGTGGCACTTTGGGTAGACGCCATTTAAACAATCGAGACCATTATTTACTTTTAAACGTTTTCAAAGGATCGGCTTTTCTTCCGCCTCCACGACCACCTTTCCTACCGCCTTTCCCTCTCATTCGGTTCCTATCCCTGGCCTTCCTTATCCGATTCTCATTTGTTTTCCTCAATCCTACAAACCCAATATCCCCACTAGTTAGACCAGCTTTCCCCTTTGCGGGCATTAGATACTCTGGCACATGCTTCAAATGTGCCTGGACGCGCGTTGGTCGTAGCTCGCCATCGTGTCGAAGCTGCCGCAGTTCTTCTGGGTTCTCTTCAAAATGTCGCTTCAGCTTCTCGCTGTTCAGGAGCTCCTGCTTGATTTCTTTGGTCCGGGCTTCTTGGACAGCCACCCGTGTGACGGCACGGAGGGCATCAGTCATTCTGTACCGGAAGGCATCGATCTGCTTTGTGTCGAAATTGTATGGCTTTACTTCTCGTCCAAGCTTGGCCTGGCGCTTGATGATTTTCGCGAGAACTGCCTCATCGTTTTTGGCAGTTGGAAAACTTGTAGGCTTATGTCTGCCGTACAGTTCTGAAGGCACAATGAGGGATAGAGCCATGCCGGTTTTGCCAGCTCGCCCAGTCCGCCCGATACGGTGGGTGTACGATTTGGCAGTCGTGGGAAGATCAAAGTTGAGGACACAGGCGACATCTTGGAAATCGATTCCTCGGGAGATGCCGTAGTCCTTTTCTTTGGTAGACTTTTTGCGTTTCTTACTAGGCGGCGGTTCGACTTCGTCCTCGTCGCTGAAGCCTTTCTCCTCCTCTGGCTCGTCTCCGTTTTCACCATTTGACTGCTCGGGCGTCTTAGATCCTTTCTTTGGTATCTCTCCTATAACTTCCTGGTCATCGGCAGCAATGATGATATCATATACACCTTTATTGAATTCTTGGACGACGTGAATCCTGGAATTGACCGGTAGTTCCGAGTTGAGAACGCAGCTCTTTATACCAAACTGTTCCAAGAATAGTTTGAGACGATAGGATCGATCTATATCTCCAACAAATATGATACATTTTCCCTTGACAAGCTGTAATTTGAATATAACATAAGTTAGAAGAAACTTTTCGTCTTCCGCGCATCTAAAGAAATGGTTAGCCAATACGATCAATAGGACTGCTCCGGGGCGGGCAAACTTATGGCATACTTGACTGCGAATTGCGCGATTCCGGCTCCTTCATCCTCCGCTTCCTCTAGCTTCAAGATAACTGGGCTTCTACAAAACAAGCCTTTCAAAGCATCAACCTCGGACGTGAGCGTCGCGCTCATCAACAGCGTTTGGACACCACGGGGAATGGCTTTTGCCAAATTTTGCATATCTTGTTCGTACCCATAGGAAAGGACAAGATCGGCTTCATCAATTACCAAGTGCGTTAAATCGTTAAGCGACAACGAGGAGCTGTTGGTATTTATGATCGCCCTTGCAGGAGTAGAAATGATAATATCAGGGAGGTCAGCGAGGATTGCTCGTTGAACGGCGTCTGAAACTTTCTGCGTGAGATTTGCGGACCGTATGTCTTTTCCGCAGAAGGAAGAAAACGAGACCACGGCGTTTTGAACCTGTTCAGCAAGCTCTCGAGTAGGCACGAGTATCAGGGCTGAGATCGACTTCTGGGTGGGATTGGCCTGGACACGCCTGTCAGCAAAGCTGCGCAATTTCCAAGAAAGCTAGGAAATGCGTACAATCTTCTTTTGCAAAATTGACTGCAAAATCGGAAGGAGATACGCCGCGGTTTTGCCCGACCCTGTTTTTGCACGAGCTTCAAAGAGTTAGCGGTGATAGATCGAAGCGACAGCTTTCGGTGTCTACTTACCCAGCACATCCTTCCCGCTTAAGACCAGTGGAATTGCCTCTGCCTGAACTAATGTTGGTTTCGTAAATTTCTGCTTTGTTAAAGCTTGGAGCAACCTGGGATCTAAGTGGAGGGTCTCGAAGGTCTTTTCTAGAGCCTTTGGCCCGGAGTTTTCAGGAGTCGGCACATTGTTCTCGTCCAGCTTCCTCTTCATGATTAATGGAGGTGGCTTGGAATTCACCGATATGTTGGAAAACCTAACGGCAGTCCTAGACTCTCGCAACTGATGAACGGTGCAACGAGCCCGCCAATTTCATGCTTCGACTTTTTTAGGATAGTGCCAAGACCTCCGGTCCGTCATAAGTCCGGTACCGTAGCGGAACAACAACTTGTTCCAGGTTCAACTAACGTAATCCGCAAGCGAGCGAAATCCGCAAGCGAGCGAAATCCGCAAGCGAGCGAAATCCGCAAGCGAGCGAAAGATTTTTTTCAACTTCCTCAACCATCCACTTCAACGCGTCAGAATGCCACCAATTCGCAATAAAAATGCAAGATCCTCTATAGAAATAGAGGGAAGGATTGAACTTGCTATTTCTACTCTTAAAAAGCAAGAAATTAGCTCAATTGCTGAAGCTGCACGGCTATTTAATGTGCCTTATACTATCTTATATCATCAAGCGAAAGAAAGATGTGCATGAATCAGTCTATGTGCAACTTTGACCAAATTGACTGAGCCTGAAGAGAATCAGCTAGTTCAATGGATCCTAGACCTAGCTAAACAAGGAATTCCCCCCCAACCAGCATTTGTTGAGAATATGGCCAATCTGTTAGGAGAACCGGTCGTAGGTCACGTAGGTTTTCCCAGGATTAGGGGTACGAAAGAGCTAAGTATGTACGATGCCCGCAACTGATGGGAGGGAGTTGTGCGTAGAACATAGGGGTCCTCTAACTAGGAGACTGAATGCTGGGGTTCCCACAACCATGCGAATCGTGTGATCCTTATACATTCAGAGTTGGGGTCACGTGAATACCCCTGAACATCCGACGTCGTCCGATGCTTGGTTGGTCTAGGTCTACGTTCGTAACACAATCATCTTCTTATGATGCGAGATCCTACCTCTCCTCCCCCCCATGTTGGCCAGAAATGGGTGTCAAATCTGATTAAACACCATACAGAGCTCAAATGCTGCTATTCCAGATGCTATAATCACAAGCAAGCAAAATGTGAGGATAGGAAGGTTCTTCAGCAGCTGGATATTCAACTCTAACCCCTACTCCTTCAGCTAGCTAATCTAGCAACTCCCAGTCATTCTAAATCCTACAAACATCAAGTGGCAATCCCCAGCAGTTGCATAGGCAGGTGGGTAAGATCAAGAATCTTATGGGGCAGGGGCTTGAGAGCTCATCCAGAGCTTAATGAAAGGATTTGACCAAATTATCAAGACCTGCAAATATGGAATGGTCAACACCACTATTATGAATATCAGAATATATTTGCTGCAAATGAGAAAGAGAAGCAAAAACATACAAGATCTAAGCACCAAATTCAGTGTAAAGAAGATCTAACTAGGGAAGAGATTACTGAGCTTGCTATTTCACCTGCTCAATCTGTTGAACAGTCAGTTGCTCAACTCTCTAAGTCTGCAGTCTCAGAGTCTGTATTATATTTGCAGGCATCATCAAGGTGTACAAACTGCCATATTTTAGGCTATACAAGAAGAAGCTGCCCCAGTCCTATTGCAATGTAATTTAATCTATTTAGAGGTTGTTAAGTATTAGTATTTTGGGTTAAATTCTAGTTAGTTGAGATGCCTTAATTTAATCTTTTGCTTGCTTGCGGATTTCACTTGCTTGCAGATTATGTTATGTAAGGCTTTCTGTTAGGTAATCCAACTAGCACCTCGCTCACGTGACCCACATAGATTAGCCAAGATTCCTCTTTAGGTAGCTTAGAAAATGACAAGCATACAAGTTCTCCATCAGATTATAGCTCTTTGTGCTAAAGAGCAAGTGTATAAGATTGATTTACAGCTCAATTGGGTATTGAAGCTTATGATCAATATTCTGAACAGTTATTCTTGTGAATAATAAGATTTTACAAGCACAAGAGAGAGTATATATTAAGATAGATATTTTCTATATGTGCAATCTCTGTAACTTTCTAGCACCAAGCTGAGAAGTAAGTTGAACTCTGTAGCTTTCTGGCATGTGACTAAAGAGTGAGTGAAACACCTGCTAAATGCATCTAGCAAGCAAATCAAGCACCTGGCAATGCCAAAGCCATGGTGAATCATACAGACAAACCAGAGCACTGAACTTCTAACTGAGAGACTTCAACAAATCTCTCTACACCTTAAACTAAGCTTAGATGATTGAGTAGGCTCAGAGACAGTCTGCCAAATAATGAGCAAAAGCCTAGAAAGAAGAGTGAACTTCAAATATTGTGCAGAATAATGCTAAATCAACAGAAGATAATATAAAGATAACAGAAGACAGTATAACAGCTGGCATAGCAAGTGAATTTTCTATCAGATCAAGCAAGCACTGCAAATGCACCTGCAATAATGCAGGAGAATCTAGAGTATGAAGCTCAACAAGAAGAAGAAGAAAATTAAAAAATAGACTTTAATAAGAAACTAGAAGAATATATTGATAATCTTATAGATACAAATACACAAATCAGCAGAGCAATCACCCAATTTATAAAGATTATGAAGATAGTGAAGAAGTCTATAACTCTGGCTGAAGCCAGTAACTATCTAGCATGGAGCAAAGCTATTCTAAAAGTAGTCTGCCAAATAGGTGTTAAGAAGATTATTCTGAAAAGACAAGAGACTTTACCATGATCAGAGTACTTGAAGATTTTACAATACTGAAATGTTCAAAATAATTGACTACATGGTCTAATTGATAGCACAATATCTGCACAAGCCAGAGAATACTTTGAGAAATTAGATAGTGAAGCAGGGTATGATGGGATACCTTGTCAAGATAGACAAGTTAGTTGATATGGTGAGAGTACAAGAAAGGTGAAAAATCACAATATAGTAAGAGTATGATTGAGTAGTAAGTGTAAAGATAGGTATGTTCTAATGGATGCTTAAGCTCACAAGAAGTAATAATACTAAAAAGCTCTGTACTAATACAGGCAGCTCTAATGAGAAACAGTAGCAAGTTTTA